TTGCCGCTCACAAGAAGGCTCTGGAGGTGAAGAGGATGGAGAAACCAAAGACAATGGCGGAGGAATGCCGGAGACGCTGGTCTGAAATTGCAGCTGGAACCTACTACTTCAACAGAGGTCAGTGCAGAGTTGTGCCAATTGGGGGCTGTGGAGCATTTGTCTGTTGAGCGTGTGAATGAGTATTCTCAGTATGGCTCCATTGAAGCTGTTGGTTCGTACTTTTGTGTCCAGATGAGGAGGAGGTAGCTGTGCTGAAGACCGTCACCAGAGAAGATGTACTTGCCTTCTTCAAAGTGAGTCAACTCTTAGCTAATGTCTGGTCTCTGGCTTCAGGCCAAGTATATATATATAGAGGAAACTGAAACTGAAACGAGGAACCTCTTGAATAAGAGTTCCCTAACACTTGAAATCATTATAATTGTTATTAGAGGGTTGCACTGTGCAGTAGTGTGTTATGTTTGATGTATATAATATAGGACAATTTCTCACTGGGTGGTCACTACCGGAAGAAGCTGGTGGTCCACGCAATACCCACCAATAGAACTGAGTCTTCTAGTGAGGATAATGGGGGAGGAGGAGGAGGAGGAGAAGGAACTCGAGGAAGTGGAGGAGGAGGAGAAGGAGCTCGACGAGGTGGGGAAGGAGGTGAAGGAGCTCGAGGAGGTGGGGAAGGAGGAGAAGGAGCTCGAGGAGGTGGGGAAGGAGGAAGTGGAGAGGTGGAAGAGACAGACATAGGAGAGCCACTCCTCCCACAGGTCAGAGTCCAATTCCCTCTCGGGTGTGAGAGTGGACTCTAATGGTGTCCCTCTCTCTCATCCACAGCCGACAGTAATATCAGACATTGCTGGCTTCAAAGGCTCTCTCCCTCTCTTCCCTCCCACGACTCCTCACATCTCTACTTCTCTTTAGAACTACTCTCAATACTACAAATTGTGCTATAATAAAAAATATTTATTTCAGTCACTATATACCAACATTTCGAGCAGGCAAAGCTGCAGCGAAACTTTTAATTAGGATGCTCCCCAGTGAAAAAGTTTTGTGTAGCATCCAGTACTGTTGTTGTCATTGGGAATTATGGGGTTAGCAAAGGTGCAGGAAAGCTGCTCCATTGACAGAAGTGTGAATGTAGAATTCACAATTGGAGCTCCATTCAGACACACCAGTGAGTCATGTTGACACACTGCTCCTCTGGTCATGATGTTACATGAGCCTGTCAGTAGATTTCTACACTAAAGACACATGTAGCTAGGTTGCTGCTATACCGTGCAAGGCTGGTAGTGGTACAGTACTTGCCATCGGTCCAAGCTGGTGCTCTAGGAATTCAGTCAGTCAGTGGCTCTATTTCTCAGCAATGTCATCTGGCATTCCTCATGATCTCAGACAGCACCAGTGGCCACTGGCAACCGTTTAGAAATAGAGCTGTAAGAAGACAGAGCAAGAAGACAGAGCAAGAGAGAGTACAGTAGCACTAGAGGCAGAGTTCACTACTGAGCTTGTGACTTGTGGTGATGGGCAACTGTTGGAAGAAGTATGACAGTGTTCCTCCGGAGGTTGCAGACCTGGTGTTGGGATTATTGAGAGAGGAGAAAGTGTGTCTGTGTGTGTGTGTCTAGCATGGCAGCAGTTGTCTTGTCTCTCTACCAGCAGGAGGACTGTCAGACACTCAGGACCTCTTCTCACAGTGAGAGGAAAGAGACCGTACTGAATCACCACAGTGGGAGTGTGGAAGAGAGAACGAGGCATGGCAGCGACCGCAGTGGGAGAGTGGAGGAGAGAAGGAACCTTCATGGTGGGAGTGTGGAGGAGAGGAGAAGTCTGTGTAGGACTAGAATGGGCTATCGGAGATATGCTGTCAACTTAGCCTTTCAAGCCTGACGCACACACACACTCATGCCCCACCGGTATCACTCACAGCCCCAGAGATTATAGTGATCATCACTAACTTCAGTGCTATTCTCATTCTTTTAATAAACCAGAGACAAATAGTACGGTACGATGCAAAATGAGACGGACATGTTATTGTGCAGTAGTGCAGATGGACAGGAGCTAAATCATTTGTCTCTTCTTTCGACAGCTCCCGACACCATTAGACCACCTAGTACAGCAATGATGGTGCCTCCCTGTGCCAGCACTCTCATCCTCATCGCCATCTGGGACGATCGCTGGTTGCCCCGCTTGAACTGGGTCAACCCGTACACCAATGCTGCTACAGTCAGACCACACCCTAGGGAAGTGAAGTTATTCAATCACACACAGGCAACCAGACAGCAATATAATAATCCCATTCTGAAGAAGCAACCTAATAAACTCTGTTAAAACCATCCTTCACAGTTAAGTTACAGTATGGTACATTGACCTACCTCCCCATACATCTGTATCTCTATACTCACCAATGGGGACTAAGGGGTTAGCCATGACCTTTCTGCTCATCTTCTTGGCCGGAGTCTCTGGCTCGGGGGTGAGCCAAGAGTAGTCCTCTCTGCTCAGCTCCACATCTGTCGGCGGAGCCAGCGAAGTACTTCCAGTTTCGGGCATGACGGACGACTCGCGTGCTCTACTTACTCAAAGACAAGTGATCGACAGTTTTCTTGTGGTATTTGCCTTCCTACGTACGTTGTGGCCGCGAGCCAACCTTTATAGCGTCACATGAACGAGGGTTCAGGTCAAACGGAACGGTTCAGTTTCCTGCATCCCTTGTTGCATCAGTTGTATTCCAATAAACGCGCTCCACAAACGCAACGGGACAAATTCGGGGCAAATTCGGGAAAATTCGGGACGACCCAATGTTTGTGGATGAGTTAGCCAAGTAGCCAAGCCAGCCAAGCGATGGAGACTAAACAAGCGGCACCAGACACCACAAGAAACCAGCACACACCCCAGTCATGGCCGAGACGTCCAGTTCCGAGGAGGATACGTCGCCATTGTCGTCTGCCAGACCGTCTCCCGAACCGCCGACCACCGTAGAGACAGCGGGTAAGAAGGAGCTTGAGACGAGGACCAAAGCCGTGGAGGAGGCGCTGAGTCCTCTCATAGAGCAGGTCAGAAGCAATATGCCCATAAAGCAACGTTGGAAAGAAGCTGTACATTGTAGCGCGGCGAGTCTAGCTAGCCAGCTAGCTAGCAGCCCCACCCCTCTTTTTAGCTGCAGAAAATCCTCCCTCTTCGTAGATAACGAGACTGAGCGGCGACCAGAAGCTGGACCCGACCAAGCCGCTGCCGCCCTCCGTGGAGAGGCTAGCCGTGGTAGTCCAGAGAGCCACGGAGACCCTGGTGTCGCTGGGAGAACAGATAGCCAGCGAGAACCCGACCTTTCAAGTAGGCGACTCTCTCGGTCCACTTTCGTCGCGTAAACGCGTTTATGGACGACAGGAGGACTTGCTGCTGGCGTGTAACGAGGTGAAAGTGGCGGGAGGGAGCATGCAACGAGCTACTCTGGACTTCTCTGGGGACACTCTGGACGCGGGGAGAAGAGAAGCAATGGCCGAAGCCTCCCGAGCTCTCCTAATTGCAGTAACCAGACTCCTTGCGGTGGTCGACACCATCGACTCACACACCCCTTCCCAAACCTCTATAATGGTAAACTATGCTCTTTGGTTCTCCCCTACCTGCTGTACCCACTCTCTACTGTATTATATACAGATGGAGGCTAAGCTAAAGACACTGTATGAGGTCTCAAGTGAAGCTGAGCTGATGAGAACTGTCAGAGACTGCACTCCGGACATCACAAGACTCACTCAGCTAGCCGCTCAGAAATTCAGTGTAAGCCACACACCACTCAGTCCCCAGCATTGACTGTGAGGGTTACGAGTCTGCAAAAACTGTGGCAGGAGGAGGGAAGTGAGGAGAAACAGCAGATTCTGGCTGCAGCACAGACCCAGCTCAACCAGGCCAGCCGTAGTCTCATCACATCCTCCAAGGTATAATAGAGAAAAGGGCAACATCAATATACTACATGAGGCAACTTGCAGACACAAGTTACTAGAAGTAAGAGAGCCTTTCTATTCAGAAGATAAGAAACTGGTACACGAAAAACCTTTGTTATAGTCGCCTTGTGTAAGAGAGTATTGTCTCCAGTTATTAACGAGAATATTGAGTCTATATACCATATCCCTGGGGGCAGCATTACCCAATTCTGTGCAGTACACACTCTGATATTTACCATCCTCCTACACAGACGTTCCTGAACTACCCACACATGGCGTCGGCCAAGGCCAACAGAGACTACGTGGTGTCCAGCATGACTGAGGCCCTGGTGGTGATTGCTGAGCTGACTGACGGCAGGGACGCCTCTTCCACCACCTTTCTCACGGCAGTGGAGGAGAGGCCTGGCCTCTATCAATACTTCGATGAACTCGAGGCAAATATTAGATGATGCCAACAGGATTTTCAGCCTCTAAGTAGAGTGAAATCTCCAAAAAAAACGACCCTCTGAATAAGGGACGCATCTCTCTAAAAGACACTTGTTTCTGCCCCATACTAATACATTAGTGTCATCTGAATAAGGACACCTCTGAATAATGTCCCCAAAATGTCTCGTGTTCACTGTTTCCAACAAAACGTTAGCAATCTCAGCAGAGTTGCCTACGCACTCTGCAGTTGTGTCTAATGTTCTACCTACATTTTATGTTTGTGTAGTCTCTGCTGAGTGTGACAGTGGGCATGGAGCCATCTGGATACACTCATCACCAGACGAGGCTCGGGACTGTGTTAAAGAGAATCCTCGCCGAGGCAGGAGATCTTCTCTCTCTCTCATTCCCACACGACTACCGGCAGCACTCCATCATTACACTCAGTCAGACATTGAAACACGGTACCCGGAGGCTTTTGCTGGCTTTGGGGCGAGGAGGGAGGAGAGAGGAGGAGGAGGAAGAGGAGGGAGGGGGATCAGCAGGTGACACAGTGATAGGGGACATAATCATAGAGGTTGAGAGTACAGCTCAAGATCTCAAGAAAGAGGTTGAACAATTAATACGACAACACAAGCTTTCACTCCCCTTACTAAATTCTCACCCCCTTCTTCCTCCAGTTGACGAATGCAGTGATGGACCAGTTGTCTGGAGCCTTCCTCCAGCCACTGGTTTCAGTTGAGAGGGTGGAGACAGGGGCCAAGGCAGGGAAGGAGACCACTGTTAGGAAGAGACTCTCCTCCTTCAAAAAGCATGCAGCAGATATGGAGAAGGTCGGCACTACCATGTTGCTCCAAACTTTGGTCTTTTCCCTCATCTCACTCCAAACCTTTTGTCTTCCCCCCTATATGCCCTAAACTTTCAGAGTTTCCCCAATTCTCTCCCCTACAGGCAGCTCAGTTGGTGTGTTCTCTCTCCAGAGACAGATATGGCGTGAGGACCACTCAGTTTGTGGTCAAGTACATCTCTTCCCTGAAATCCCAGGTCACTAGGACATCTCCTACACTCTGTGCTATATACAGCTTAATACATCTACCTTGGTCTAGACAGGACATCCTTAATTTCAGTATGTGTTTAGGTGAACCCCAAAGGAAGTTTATTAGACATTTCTCACAAACTTTCAGATATCATTATAATTTTACTCACTATCTCCCTCCCTCTGTACAGGTGGCCTATGCGGCACAGACACTCTGCATGCACCCCGCAAGCCACCTCGCTCTCAGGAACATGGTTCTGTTCCGAGAGGCCTGGGCCGAGAACGTCCAGCTGCTCCTCAGTTCACTGGAGGCCCTGGCTCCTCTGACACAGTTCATGTCTGTAGTCGGTAGGTCTGTCCCAAAACTACGGAGCCCCTACACATGTTTGTACTAGTGGATTTTAACAAGAAAGTTTCAAAGTTCGACTACCCACATTAATTTCACTTGAGACATGGTTGATTCTCCCACTGTAGAGGTGCTGATACGAGAGGACAGTGGGAGGTTTATGAAGGCGGTGGAGGGAGGAGATGGACGGGAGGCGAGGAGAGCAGTCCAGACAGTGAAGGGTCGGGGCCAGCAGCTGCTGCGGGTGGTAAAAGAGGACTTGGCGGGAAACCCTCGAGCCTACAGCCAGGAACAGCTGCCGGGAGTGAAAGCTTCTGCTCAGACACTGGCTGACAAATGTAGGACCTAGTCTTGGGCCCAGACCCTCTAGAACAAAGCTCTCTAAAAACGTTCCTCCCTCTCCTCTCCCTCCAGCTCTACAGTGGTTCGGTAACCTGGGACTGAAGGCAGCAGACACAGTGGCATCGACCCACAATCCACACACTGTCAATCAAACTGCACTGGAAGAGGCTGCACAGAAGGTATATACATGCAGCACTCACCAGCTACTCCACTAATGGTGGAAAGAAAATTCCGTAAGCAAGAAGTGATGCCGTCTCTGTGTTCTGTAGATGAATGAGGATGTGTGGAGACTAAGAAGAGCAGTACTGCAGGCCAGGGTATGTCTCTCTTAGAGCATGTGACTGGTCATGTGACTGATCATGTGACTTACAGGGGGAGTATGAGGGAGACAGTGGGACCCCAACACCAAGTGCCATATCTCCATACACCCTATCACAGGAGAGTGTCATCTCACTTGGTATATCATGCAGATCGCCATCTTCATGCATGAACAGAACAAGTATGACGTGCTGCTTCTCTGGTGCAGGAGGCAATATGTCTCCAGGAGGAGACAAGTTTGAAAGAACCCCAACCTACAGCGGTGTGTTCCAGGAGGAGGTGGAGGAGGGAGGGGCCTCCCAGACAGTTCTGGAGGCTCTCTCTCCAGGACAGAGGGAGCAGCTGGCAAGAGAGACTGATACCCTCTCCCAGGAACACTCTAGGTCCTCTCTTCCTTCCTTATCCCTCTCTTCCTCTCGCTTTTTACATTGGTGCCTATCACCCTCTCTTCCTTCCTCTGTTCGCTAGCAGTGAATGCCAGTAAGCACATTAGCCAAAACGAATACACCAGCACCACTTCCACACTTACTTACCACACCGAATGCTAATGGCAGGTTTGTAGATTTCATTGGTGAACTGGTAGAGGGGGAACAGTAGCTTCAGAGTTGAGTATGGTTGACTGCATCTCACTCTGTGTTTGTCTGTCTCTACAAAGGTTTGAGGACGAGGTGAGTAGGTGGAGCAACAGTGGCCATGACATCATCATCATCGCCAAGGAGATGTGCAACATGATGATGGACATGTCCAACTTTACAAAGTAAACAAGGAGAGAAACGCTATTCTGTTTTAGCAGTTACTCGTGTATACTGCTACAGAGGAGAGGGTCAGCTAAAGACAAGCATGGATGTCATCATTACTGCAAAGGTTCTTATATTCTGCGTGGTTTTGTGATTTGGAAGCATTAACTTATTTTGTGAAGACAACTTTTGCTAATTCTCACAAGAATTCAGTGATCAGGGACCCTCTATGTCCCTCTCTCACACAGGACATAGCCAGAGCTGGAGAGTATCTGTACAAAGTCACCAGACCCGTTGCAGAGAAGGTGAGCAGAAAACCTCAGTCACAGAGCTGACTGTTCTCTTCCTTCTCCCTGTGTCCAGTGTCCCAGCAGTCAGCACAGGGACGAGCTGCTGGTCCACCTGGACCGCATGAGACTCCACACTCAGCAGCTCAAGATTACCAGTCGAGTCACTCTGGAACAGGAGGGCCCGCCTGGGGAAACTGTTAGTCCCTCTGCTATTATATGACTGCATCAAGCACATGCATTTGTCTCTGGCCCACTTCTTTTACACTCTTCCTCCTCTCTCTCTCTCGATCTTTCTCTCTCTCTCTCTCTCTTCCCCTGTCTCCCACTGGTATACATACGTGTATATACACCCAGGTGGACTCAGCCAGTGCAATGTTGAGTGCAGGGAGAAACCTCATGGACAGCGTTGTCCAGGTCGTCAAGACCTGCTACCTCGCCTCCTCTGCCATCGCCAGAATTGAAGGCACTGTACCTGTGAGTCCAGTTAGCCAATACCCAACCTTCCCACTTATTCATGTGCCTTCTATGTAATAATATGTGGCCTACTAGATTGTTCATGCACATAATAGGAAGCGAAATGGTGTATCAGAATCATCTCCGACCATCAATACAAAATACACACAGCAAAAAATGTTCTCATACTAAACTTCTTCTCCTAATTTACGGTTTATTTTCTCTCCAGGAAGAGGTAGTTCAGTGGAGACTCCAGTCACCTCAACTGAAGCAGTTGACACCCGAACAGTCAGGGGCTCCACCCGGCAACAACAGAGACACACCTAGTAAGACCTACCGGGAGCAGCGACGGGCAGAGCCCTCCCCCATATCTCAGCTGGAAGAGTTCCAATCGGAACCCGAGGTGGGTGGGACCGGGAGGAGGAGAAAGGTCACCCCTGTGCCCGCGCCCACAAGGGGGGGGAGACCTCGGAGACCCAGAGGTGGAGGTGGAGGAGGAGGAACTGATTTAGAGGCCATCCCAGAGGTGGCCTCCTCACACTCTCTGCACGAGACTACATTTTTGTAAAAAAAATATTTTCGCGCTCTCGTTTCAAAATTTTTGAGAATCTTGAACTTTGAACTATACACGTGCGTGATGAGAAGATGGCGAGTTTGCGAGCGGTCGTGTGCCGACGGACACTGAGCAAGCACTACAGAAGGCTCTCCAGGTCTCTGTACAGGTATGGAGCCACAGCACGACCCGCTCCTTAGCTCAGTTGGTGTCGGTCCCTGTTCCGTTCCAGATGTGAGAGTTCTGAGGTATCAGCCGCCGACCTGTCAGTAGGTGTGTCTTTACTACAGAGGCGTACGTGTGGTGTGTGTTAGTGCGAGTCTGTTGCATAGAACATGAGGTGGACGAAGAGGCTGAGGTTCCGTTGGTCCCCAAAAAGTAGGCAACCTAACTGTTACTACGTCACCTTTGCACTCACTTCTTCTCCGTCTCACTTATAGTCGTGATACACATGCAGTTCTGAAGGCCCTCTCCTCAACTCTAGCACAAGTCAGGGTGCCACTGACAATAATTACCCCAATTATTACAATGTTTGCGCAGCTACCACACCCACTACTGATGGGTGGGCGGAGTTTGGCTGACCCTATGGCCCCTCGTACCAGAGCACTTCAGGTAAACTGCCATAGATTCTTCTTCCCTCCACGTGGCTCGTAAAATGTGTCCCCAGCTGGAGTATGAGAGAGCTAAAGAAGCTGGACGCAAGTCGGCTCAGTATGCCATCAACAGGTGGCCTGCAATGTTTCCCGACTTCGTATCTGAGACAGTGAGTTAGTCAAACACCCTCTTTCCTTGCTTCTCTAGTATATATCGGTCCTCTCCTATTGTTCTTCTTCCCTTATCCCAACTCCCACCCCCTCCTTCCCTCCAGGACCTCAAACTCTCAACAGACCAACCTCAGGGCACCAACGAAGAAACTCTGAAAAGTCAGTTGGGAAATTTTCCACGGTTTCTGATCCTTTTCTCTGTGGCTATGTTAGGTTTGATAGCCAAGAGGCAGACTGGTAGAGCCATGAAACTCTTCACACTGCTTCAAGAGAGAGGTTTGGTAGATTACATCATTGGTCACGTGATTATCACGTGTGTGTCAGGTGATCCGGTCTCCCTGGAGACCCAGAACGATATACTGGAGCGGCTGGCCTACTATGGAGTGGGTAATCGTGGCAGAGGAGGACGGACTGAGGTGGTGAGGGAAGAGGGGGAGGTGGGGGACCTGGAAGAGCTGGGGGAGGAGCTGGGGAGGAGTGGGAGTGAGGAGGCAGCTGCCTTCCTGGCCAGAGAGGAGACGGAACAGGAGGAGAGGAGCCTCAAAGACAGAGCCCACCTCATGCAGTTTCAAGTATGTCACCACATAACTAAACTTTAGCTCTCTCCATATTTGTGTGTGCATCTCTCTCTTCACCTTAGAGATTGCCAACTAGGATGTGGAGGTGCTGTCCATCATGTCCTGTACAATGTCTCAGTCTTCATTATGGTTGTCTGATGCAGTCAGGAAAATCATGCAGAGAAGTTCTTTGCCGAAATGTCTGTGAAGAACGGTGCCACATATGATGCCCTCATCCTAGGACTGGTGAAGGTATATTCAGAGATATCTATGTGGTGTGTATGTAACGTATTGTATCTGCTTTAGTTCATGAACTTTGACAGAGCGTGGGAGATGTTCGATGAGATGAGAAAAGATGGCCACCAAGGTCTGTAAAGAGTTTTAAAAAAGTCAAAACTAAAGCAAGGGCCCACATCATTTCACAAAGATCTTTGTATGAAAGTAGTTTTTTCCCTGAAACCAATTGCCGTTCAATTAGCAGACAATTCACTCGGCATATGGGCAGCTGCAAGTGCTCTCTCTTTTTCCCTCAGCAAGTCTGGCCACCTACAACTCCCTGCTGTTTGTCATTGGCAACACCGCCGTGCCTGATCCCTGGAGCAGGGCCATGGTGAGTAGTCTTTGCTTGCTCCTGCCATTCAACGAACCTCTCTCTCCCTCCTCCTCTCCCTCTTGAAGTCTCTTGTCCAGCAAATGAACCTGGAGCCAGTTGTCAGACCCAACATCAGTGAGCATCCCTCACCCCATCCCTCGTAACTCTCTCTTCTCTTCTCTTTCTCCTCCCTCTTCCTCTCCCTCCCAGCCACAATGAACCTGCTGCTGGAGATAAGCTCCCAGACTGGGTCCTCCTCAGCTGCTAAACGCTCACTTCAGACCTTCAGAGAATCACTACACCTTGGCCTAGGTGTGCTATACACAACCACCGTCTATCTTTCTTGACTCCCAACCCTTTCTTTATCTTTTCCAGAACCCAACCTTACTACCCTCCTGGCTCTTCTGAGGGCCCACGTAAAGGCCCGTGAGTAAGAGTGCGTGTGTGTGTTGGTACGGAGGTTGTCTGTCTCTCTCTTCTCCAGTGGATGGGTCAGTGTTGTATGACATCACGGACTACCTCGAGCAGAACCAGCACATCCTAAAGATATCTGACACACAAGACAGTCAGTTGTCCTCCTCCCTTATATCTAACCTACTTTAGAGGGCCTTGAGGGCCCTTAGTAGTAGCATCCTCGCTGCACTCGAACACCGACAGCCAAAGCCCCCCCGCAGCTCTCTAATACGCCTAGTTTCCTAGCATCTAACTTATATTTAATATTCCCCCTTCTCCTTCTTCCTCTCCAGTATTCTTCTTCACTGTGGCGATGACAACGGTAAAACGCAAGTCTTCCCCTGTCCTCCCTCGCTATCCCTCACCCTCCTCCTCTCGTCGACTAGGCCAGGAACATGCTGGACCACGAACTAGCCATGAGGCTGAGGAGACTGTGCAACCGTGACAACTGGATGCTCTGTCAGAACCTCACCCTCTTCGTGTCAGTCTCTCCTCTCTCACACACGCACTCTCTCTCTCTCTCTCTCTCTCTTTCTCGTGCACAACCGTTGAACAAACACCCCCACAGTTCCTACTACCTGACCACCATCACTGGTAGAGTCCCTATAGAAACCCTCAAGGAAGAATACAGTCATTTCGTACCCGATGTGAGTATATTTACATCTTCAACTCTCCTCTATGTTATTACGGTGTGTGTGAGAGAGCCAGTGTCCCATTCCCAGGTTGTTCTACCGATGGAATGGGTGTACGGAGTCATGTTCAGAGCCTGCGAGGAACAAGAGAACCTGGGATTTGCCCTCGAGTTATGGAACCGTGAGGGAATGAGGGAACGGGTGTATGGGGAATTGGGTCTGTGTGTGTGGTATCATCCCTGCAGACATGTTGAGGTACCATGTCAGTATAGCCAGTGTGGAGACTCTGTCTCGGTTCTGTGGAGCCATGTCCAAGAAAGTGTTTCCCTCGGTGAGTCAGTCGTGGGGTACGGGGTTGTGAGGAATGGGGTATGGAGTAGCTGGGAATGAGTCAGTCACGGGGGTACGGGGTTGTGAGGAATGGGGTATGGAGTAGCTGGGAATGGAGTGTAGGGAATGGGGTATGGAGTAGCTGGGAATGGAGTGTAGGGAATGGGGTACGGGGTTATGAGGAATGGGGTATGGAGTAGCTGGGAATGGGGTATGGAGTATCTGGGAATGGAGTGTAGGGAATGGGGTACGGGGTTGTGAGGAATGGGGTATGGAGTAGCTGGGAATGGAGTGTAGGGAATGGGGTACGGGGTTGTGAGGAATGGGGTATGGAGTAGCTGGGAATGGAGTGTAGGGAATGGGGTATGGAGTAGCTGGGAATGGAGTGTAGGGAATGGGGTACGAGGTTGTGAGGAATGGGGTATGGAGTAGCTGGGAATGAGTCAGTCATGGGGTACGGGGTTGTGAGGAATGGGGTATGGAGTAGCTGGGAATGGAGTGTAGGGAATGGGGTACGAGGTTGTGAGGAATGGGGTATGGAGTAGCTGGGAATGGAGTGTAGGGAATGGGGTACGAGGTTGTGAGGAATGGGGTATGGAGTAGCTGGGAATGAGTCAGTCATGGGGTACGGGGTTGTGAGGAATGGGGTATGGAGTAGCTGGGAATGGAGTGTAGGGAATGGGGTACGGAGTAGCTGGGAATGGAGTACAGGGTTGTGAGGAATGGGGTATGGAGTAGCTGGGAATGGGGTATGGAGTGTAGGGAATGGGGTACGGGGTTGTGAGGAATGGGGTATGGAGTAGCTGGGAATGGGGTACGGGGTTGTGAGGAATGGGGTATGGAGTAGCTGGGAATGGAGTGTAGGGAATGGGGTACGGGGTGGAGGAATGGGGTATGGAGTAGCTGGGAATGGAGTGTAGGGAATGGGGTACGGGGTTGTGAGGAATGGGGTATGGAGTAGCTGGGAATGGAGTGTAAGGAATGGGGTACGGGGTTGTGAGGAATGGGGTATGGAGTAGCTGGGAATGGAGTGTAAGGAATGGGGTACGGGGTTGTGAGGAATGGGGTGTAGGGAATGGGGTATGGAGTAGCTGGGAATGGAGTGTAGGGAATGGGGTATGGAGTAGCTGGGAATGGGGTATGGAGTGTAGGGAATGGGGTACGGGGTTGTGAGGAATGGGGTATGGAGTGTAGGGAATGGGGTAGGAGTGTAGGGAATGGGGTACGGGGTTGTGAGGAATGGGGTATGGAGTAGCTGGGAATGAGTCAGTCATGGGGTATGGGGTTGTGAGGAATGGGGTATGTGTGTTTGACCCAGGAGGTTGATGCTGTACTGCAGGCTCTGCTGAAGGCCTGGGACAAGGCCGTGGACATAAAAGTCACGTCAGTTCTCTCTCCCACCCACTGCCTGATGATGTTTTCTTCTCTCCTGTCACACACACCTCTGATGATGTTTTCTTCTCACCTCCCAGGCCTCCGTCAGTAATGATTGCTCAGATCATCAGACTATACTGTATGAAGCAGAACCTGCGCAAGGCCTGGTGAGCACACACACACATTGTTACAACTTTGTGTATGGTCCGATTTTTACTCCCTTATCTGCAGGGAGTACTTTCAATACTTTGAGAAGTACGACAGAAAGCCAACGTGAGTAACTTTTTCGAGTTGCAGAAGGCGCTAAGAAGCTAAGAGGATAGGGGGAAGAGAGAAAGATAGAGAGAGATGAAAAGAAAGTTTAATCGCTGCAGGTTCCAGGCCCTGGTGTCTCTGCTGAAGGCCTACTCCACTGACAGAGATGTGGAGAAGACAGTCGAGGTTCTGAGGCTCATTCTGAGGCACAAGATGGTCCTCCCGACCACATTCGTGAGGGATGTCTGCTGGAGAGCTGGAGTCCCAGAGAACGTCAGGTACCTCTGTGTGTGTGTGTGTACATGGTGGGAAGGGATACAAAACTCTAGTGGCAAGTGCTTCATCACTCAAGTCTATCTGTTCACATGTGTACAGGAGTAAGCTGGTCAGTCAGTTTTCAAGAAATGAAACAGCTAGCGGCGACGACAGTGATAAGAAATCAGCTTCAGAAACCAGAGATTCTGACACTGAGCTGCCAGGGAGCTAACTATTGGGGTGTGTATTATCTCATGCCATTATAAAAATAATTACATTCTATATACAAAAACGCGCGAAAAAATTAATATCAACGTCTATGTGGGGTAGTAGATGTGGAAGAAATGTCGGGGCTTATGTCGAGAGTGGTCACCCTGATTTTCATCTGGTTGTTTCTGACGTAATGTTTCAACTCTGCGTGTCGGATGTAGTTGTACTCTGCACTGGAGCCCACGCAACTCTCCTCCGGCTTGGAGCGCACGCTCTCGTTCACGTACTCGTGTTCCCACGTCCCTGTGCTCTGGTTCTGAGCGTGGACGCAGAGCCGTGTGCGGACATCCCAGGGAAGCTGGTCGCTGTGCGAATCGAGCATCTTGTACAGTCTGAGTGAGACGTGGGTTCCGTACCCTCTCAGTACACCATAGGGGGAGATACCGAGACACATCTTGTAGCCTCCCTGGTGTGTGTGAAATGGCGGACTCCGCCACTCCAACTGATGGTTCTTCAGGGCCTCAAAGTTGGTCACGACAAACTCGACAGGAGGGATGGTGCAGGGGGTGGCATCTAACTGTCGTTGGAGGTCGAGGAGGGAGGACCGGAGGGTGCCGACAGAACCAGTGAGGGAGTTTTCCGTTCGTGATACATGCACCTTCACCTCAGACGCTAGTTTTTGCTCCACTTCTGCCAGTTTGCTGCTGGTTGACTCCCTGAGGCTTCCAATGCTCCTCTTCAGCTCTCCCTCCATCGCAGCTAGCTGGGACTGGAGCTGGACAATTTCTGCATCCTTTTCGTCCAGTTTCTCCTTCAGCTGCCGCGTGAGGGTGAGGTTTGCCGCACACATGTTGACGAGATGCTCCATTTTACCCTCTTCCATGTGTCCTCCTACGTCCCTACGGCGGAGACGCTTCGTGCAGCCGAGGGCGGCATACTCGCAGGCCACCTCCTCAGAGAGACACACTAACCTGTGTTGGTCCAGCTGGCAACGAGGAACAGCCCCCACCTCACACCCATTGGGACAAGGCACAGGGAGTTGGTCACATGTTTCGTTGTGTTCCCCTTCTTCCTCCTTATACCCGGTGTGGTTGCAGTAGACACACGTCCACGGTTGTTTCGGGCAACCGGCGACGTGGTAGCGGAGGTTTCCCAGCTGACCCACCCACTGGCAGCCGCCCGGGGCTCTGTAGAGACAGCGAACCTCAGTCTCGTTCACGCTGCGCCGGTGGAACTTGTCCGGATGGGTGGTGAGCGGCTCCTTGCACATGGGGCACGGGCTCTTCTCTCTCTTGAGGCGCTCGGCGATGGCCGAGGCGAAGTGATGTCCGCAGCATTCGGTTTGCTGCGGGTCGAGCAGTAGCTCCATGGACACGGCGCAGAAGAAATGGTCGGGAGGCTTGGTGACGAAGTCATACTCGTAGCCAGGAGGGAGAGGGTCCTGGAGTGGAGCAACACCAGCGCGGGGAGTCGGGGGACTTGGCTGGGGAGGTGGAGAAGACATGTTTTGCGCGTCTTCATCCACGCACTTTTCTTCCATTTTCCTCCACGAAAAAAGTGGGTGGAGTTCGTAAGCACACGTGACGAGCTCGGACACAAGATCGAAGAGAGATGGATGTTGTGAAGCTCCTGCTGCTGGGCTTTTGCTGCCTAGCTAGCGCTCAGTACGAGCCAAACTGGGACTCCCTGGATGCGCGCCCGTTGCCGGCCTGGTACGATCAGGCCAAGTTCGGCATCTTCATCCACTGGGGCGTCTTCTCCGTGCCGAGCTACGGCGGCGGGGAGACGGGGAAGGGGGCCAGCGAGTGGTTCTGGTGGGACTGGAAGGGCGCCAAGGAGTCGTGGGCAGTTGACTTCATGGAGAGAAACTACCTTGCGACCTTTACCTACCCCGACTTCGCTCCCCAGTTCAAGGCAGAGCTGTTCTCTCCGGGCGACTGGGCTCAAACGATTATGGATTCCGGAGCCAAGTGAGTCCCCTGTCTTTCTGTTTTCAGCCATTGTTTCTCTCCTTTCTCTCCCACAGGTATGTTGTGTTGACCAGCAAACACCACGAGGGGTGGACAAACTGGCCCTCAAATACATCTTGGAACTGGAACGCCATGGCCGAAGGTCCACACATGGACCTAGTGGGTAGGTCCCTATCGTTACCTCACTGATTACTGCTGTCTAGCACTCACTTGCTTGTCACCTCTCTGCTGCTCCAGGCTCTCTGGCGCAGGCTATTTCGGCTTACCCAGCTCTGCGATTCGGTCTCTATTTCTCACAGTTTGAGTGGTTCAACCCTGTCTACTTGGCCGACAAGGCCGGAGGCTTCAAGACACAGAACTATGTGGCTGTAAGCAGCAGCCTTTTACTATATAGCCCCTACTTGGGCACATTTAGGAAACCCTGGTCGATATTTTCTCAATATATTATATAGTGATGTTGTAGGCTGTCCAGATTGGAAGATGAAGATTGCAACTGCAATCACTCTAAATTCGTGTCCATCTGAGCTTGTTGTGTCCTCTCCTCTCCTCTGCTAGGAGGTGAGTATGCGTCAGATGTATGAGATAGTGGAGCAGTACAAGCCACAAGTGGTGTGGTCCGATGGAGACTGGGAGGCTCCCTATACCTACTGGAACAGCACCGAGTTCCTGGCCTGGCTCTACAACGAGAGTCCGGTGAAAGACGAAGTGGTGGTGAACGACCGCTGGGGCCAGGGCTGCGCCTGCCACCACGGAGGGTACTACACCTGCTCCGACCGCTACGACCCTCGTACGTAAGCCATAATCTGCTATGAATATGGTGTAAGAGAGACGGGGAGATTGGGAGACAAGCAAAAAAGATACCCTTTTCTCTCCCTTTCTGTGTTTTAACCTTGAACCGCCAGCACCCTCTATCTTTCATTCCGGAATCCTCCCAAACCCTCTCCAGATACTCTACAGAAACACAAGTGGGAGAATGCCATGACAATAGACAAGTACTCCTGGGGATTCCGAAGAGAAGCCACCATCGACCAATACCTCTCCATAGAGGAGCTCGTCTCTGAGCTTGTCGTCACTGTCAGGTGGGTGTGGCCACTATTACATCACTATTACATCATAGAATTCAATGTTCTGTTTGTGTGTGTGTGTGTGTGTGTATACAGTTGTGGTGGTAACATGCTCATGAACGTTGGTCCCACTCACGATGGGAGGATAGCACCCATTCTCCAGGAGAGACTTGAGCAGATGGGTGAGTAGTACTGTATTGGTAGCTAGCTACGCTGGTTTTTACTATTACACAACTCTGCTGCAATAATATCTATCAGGGGCTTGGCTGAAGATAAATGGTGAAGCAATCTACAACACAACTCCATGGACCTACCAAAACGACTCTGTCAATGCCAATGTCTGGTAGGCACAACTGCACACTTTGTTGTTCATGTATTTATAACTACGTGAACTACTACATTGACTATTGGTATCCATTCTCTTGTGTCTCCAGGTACACAGAGAACAAAGAGACCATGTCAGTGTATGCTCTCTTCCTGAAATGGCCGACCAACTACAACCTGGAGCTGGGGTCAATCTACCCCGCTCCAAACTCGACTGTGACCCTCCTGGGGTACCCCACTCCACTCAAGTGGGAAGTCACTTCCCCCACCATCCTCGTCAAGCTCCCGTCTCTCCCTCTGGACTCCACACTCCAGTGGGGCTGGGCTCTCAAGTTCCACTGACACACTCTAATAGTTGCTCTACACTGTAGCTAGCATCATGTGTACATGAACCTCCTCGTCCTTGTCTATTATTATGTGGAATTGTATATAGCAGACAGATTTAAACGTCCTTGCTGGATTTGTAGCTACACGTTTAAGGCACAGAACCCACCATAAGATGTGACAGAAGGCACATTAATTGACAAAACCCTTCACAGTGCATGTAACGACGTAGTAGCACTAACTACACATGTTCTCGGGATTCCATGTTAGTTGTTGGGGTGAGGTGGGAGGTATCCGCACTTGGGGCCTGAACTGTGGGCGTCGTCCATGTACTGCACTGCAAGTCTCACCACGTCAGGACTGTCTCCCGACACGTCTGTCGTCTCTCCAACATCATTGACTAGATCATACAGCGCCACCACCGCCGAGAAATTATACCTGGACAGCCGAATGAGGTGTAGCTAATGTTGAAATGACTGAAAGTTACTTGCCTCACGGCTTTCCAGTTCATGAATCTGACAGCTTGCCCCCAGCCCGACTTGTCTTCGTTTGGGTAGCAGAATTCGTGATAGATATACCTGTAAAGAGTCATTCTCTATGGAGAGCTAAAAGACGGATAGAGGTAGGAACCTGGTTGGTCCTGGGAATTGCCCTGTAGGGTGGGCAGTACAGGCAGAGAGCTCAGCGGTACGCCAGCTATATCTGCCTGGAGAGAGAGAGAGAGAGACCATGGTATACATCTACCTCGACACCCTATAACTTACAGCGGTGGCCAAGAAATCCCAGAAGCCCCACTGTTGCTGGACCACAACTCCTGGTTTCACTACTCCAGGCTGCAGTCTCACAATAGACCATGTCAGTGTGGTAGCTGCAATACACTGGCTCACATACCCATCTAACGATGAGGGGTGACCTCACTCCTCCCTCGTGGAGACTTCTCTTGTAACCCCGCAGAGGACCCGAGCTCTCAAAGAACTGGTAACTGTGACCCCTGCAACAGAGTATGAGTTTGTAGCTATATAGAATTCCATTCATTGGTCTCACTCACCCTTCATTATGGGCTCCATTGTCACTGGCAAAGAACACAACCTGTGGAAGAGAGTGGCAATGAAACCAAGTCCTGAGGTGTTTCTACAGACCGTATCATTGCCTAGGCCAAGGCTGTCCAGCTCCTTCACAATCTGTCCCTGTTAGAATTTGTGAGTCGTAACTGCTGGACAGAGAGAATGATATTCCTTTGCCCACCACTTGTTGATCTTGCAGCGTGATCACCGAGGCAAAGTCCCTTTCAACCTATGGATTACATTATGCATGCAACCATTCACTACTATACCATCAGTGCAAGCGCGGGTATTCTCTGACTGACCTTTGGCCATGACTGGTTGGCATACTGTGGAGTATCGTATGGTGCAGGAATACCAGTCTCAGCATTCTAGAGGATTGAAAGTGCAGAAGAAGATCAATATTAATATTATAGCGGGTGGCTATTGTTAATCATACTCACGATTCCAATCCCCCCAGCATGTGGAGAGGTGAAAGATAGGAACAGGAAGAACGCACTCTCAGACTTGGACAAATTGGACAGAAACTCAGTGGTGGTGTTAACAAACACATCTGAATGAAAATGAGACAATAGTTGTTGCATTAGTCAGCCACTGTGCCTCTCCTACCCTCTGCCCATGTACAGTTCTGTGTGAGGGGATGTCCACAGTTCTCTGTGGAGGCATTCTCGTTATCGGGAAAGAAGATCTGGCTCTTGGAAAGAAAGAAAATATGCTAGCCTAGTGTTGAATTACATAGTCAGAGTATACTTTGTTTCTGAAGAGAGTGTAAGGGTAGTAGTTGTGGGCATTCTCTTGACTATTGTAGCCTAGAAATAAGTCAAATCCCTCTGGATTTGGAATATTGGTGGCCGGAGGGTAGTTGGTAGAGCCTGCCATGTATAAACACAGGTATAGTAGAGAGCTATCACATAGAGAGTAAGTGAAATTTGCCTAGTCCCCATTTTCCAATGAGACCGGTGTGGTAGCCTGCTTTCTGTAGCACACTAGCGATGGTGACGTCTGAGTCTGCCAGAACTTGGCCGTTCTGCCGAACAGTGCAGTGGCCAGTATGTCTCCCTGTCATCTGTAGCAGTAATGAATGAGAGCTCACCCGGTCGTTAGCATTGCTGAGTGAGGCTCCACTCACCAGGGCACATCTGGAAGGTGCACAGACTGGTGCTCCAGCATAGGCCTCAGTGAATGTCATTCCTTGACTGGCTAGGGCTGTGACGACAGAAGAGAGATGTGCGTGTGTGTGTGTGCTAGCGACAGACTACGCATACACTTAATGTATGGAGTGGAGATCCTGCCGTGAGGACTGTGTGGGTTGGGGTACATCTCCAAGTCCCCATAGCCCAGATCATCTTGAGGGGGAGTAGAGAATAGAAAACTAAAGAGTGAGCACTGACCCAGTTAGCTAACAGTAAGCAACCTGAGAGGATGAACAAGATGTTGGGAGGTTTTGCAGCTGAGAGCCTAGTCTCCAAGGAGAGCAGCAGAGCAGCAAAAGACCACCACCACCACATGTTTACCAAGCAGCTTAAAGGGGTGGAGCATGGCATGTTCCAGGAATGTAATGAATTTCCACAAAACATACACACTGAATGATGATGACTGCTATTGTTCAAATGTGCTCTCATGGTTCGAGAGGTTCTTCTCTTCATTCTTCTGGAAGTTGAGGATGTTAGGGGCTGACTTGGCTCGACGTTGACACAACTGCAGGGACACTGACTGGCCAGATTCGTGGTGAGCTGAGTTTGTGGCTTCTAGAGACACCATTGACTTTGAGGCAATCCCACCCATGAGGCTCCCAAAGAGAGAGTGTGCTGGGAGCGAGGGTTGATCAAGGGTGTGTGGACCATGAGAGGTATCTGAGTCCCCTCTTGGTGAGGCTATAATATTGGGACTGCTCTCTGCCTCTTGGAGGTCTTCCAGTTCACTGCAGAAAGAAAAGGCAGGGAAATGGCTTGAGTTCGATCGCAGCAGAACTGGTCTTGTTACTGATGTTCCACTCGAATTTGGTGGTGTGTGGACTGGTGTGGGGGAGGAGTGATGTGAGGATGAGATGGGGGAGGGGGGAGTGTGAGGGGAAGTTGGTCGGGGGTGAGGGATCACAGACTGCAACGTGTGGTTGAGAGGAGTCATTGGAGACTCTGTTATACTAGTCTGTACAGTACTGGATGAGGCGTCCCATAACAAATTGACGATCTTGAGTGTCTTTCTCTCCGTCTGAGCTCTGTCATCATTGTATCCCTCCCTCTCCGCCCCTGCCTGGGAGGAATCAGAGACACTGCTTTCCCCCAAAACCTGTCGTCTATCTATATCATCTTTAGCATCTCCTCTTCCTCCCTCATCTCCCTCCTGGCAGATTCCAGACCTCCTGATGTCTGGGAGTCTCAACCAAGAGCTCTTCTCCTCCAGACTCACCACACTCTCATTGCTGTAGTTTGTCACCATCTGACCCTCGGGGATGGCCCCCAGACTGAAGCGTCGCTGTAACCCACAGGAGAACGAAAGCCGTCTGGTGTATCGAGAGGTTTGCGACCCACTCCCACTGCTCCCCAGGTGTCTCAGTAGCTTCATCACTTCCGCCACACTTCTGTTCTTGGTGAGGGCCCCAGGTAAGGAGAGAGAGTTTGCTCTTCCCACATCGTGGAATGCTATTTCGTCAACTCCTTCTTCGTACTCTATTCCCGCCTCTGTCTCTCCCTCGTCGTCTTCGCCTACTCCACCGATGAGGAATTGAACTTCGACATCATCTGCAGTTTCGTCTGACTCAGTTTCTGGAACGAGAGGTTCCGAAGAATTCTTCAGTAGACCGATATTTAGCTCACTCGGTCGGTGTTCAGTAACATCACACTGCTCCTCGCCACTGTCTGAAGAATTCTCCTGGTTTCTGTCTTCAGCAACTCTTTGTGGTTCAGCTGTTGCTATTTCATTCCCATCTTGTTCCTGGATCCTCGTATCACTGGTAATTATCAAAGGGGCAGGAGAAGGCGATGAGGTTGTGTTACTAGCCCTAGAACTACGCCCAGATCTGACTGATGCCTTTTTGGAAGATGGTCTGCGCTGCTTTCGCGGAGGATAGTTGGAGTATGGATGTAGTTTGGCAGGTCTCCCGGTGCATTCAATGTTCCTCTTGGCCTGGTCCATAGTCACACTAATGGGAGCTGTCAACTTCGCGCGAGAGGCCGACTGCCTCCCTGATGAGGTTCTGCTAGTGTTACAAGAGGAACAAGAGCGAGGGCTCCTCAGTTCCTGTCTCTCTCTACAGGCAGCTGGCGGCTCTACTGTCATCTTGGACTTATTCTGGCCCCACAGCTGGTAGGCCCTGTCTGCCGCCTCTTTCTTCAGTCGAGACTCAATGAGTGCTCTCTCGTGTTGTCGTCTCTTTTCCTCTGTCTTCTCTTGTAGTTCTGATGTGAGTTGTCTGTCTTTTCTCCTTGCCCAGTGCAGGGAGCGCAGCAAGCGGGCACACTCAAAATGACCATGAAGTGTAGCAATATCACTTGCCGTGCGCCCCTGACTATCCTTCATTACATAAAAACCGGTTGAACTTCACTATTATTTCTGATATGCTGGGACTTACTGATAGATGTATGTCTGCTCCGTGTTCTAGTAGTCTTTTCAGACACCTTGCGTGGCCGTTACTAGCCGCCACGTGAAGGGACGTCCAGCCTTCCTCACTCTGCCTGTAGATCACAGGGAAATATTTCGTATGCTATCATGCGTCTTTTAGATCGAGACCTGTTTGGGTCTGCTCTTCGCTCTAGGAGCAGCTTCGCGACTTGCAGGCTCGTTTGCGGGCTGCGTCTGTGGGATACGGAGAAGTGGAGAGCAGTGCGGCCTGAGGTGGTCTCCGCCTCGTCCACGTCACACCTACAACTGTCGAGCAGGTACCTCAGGCAGTCAACGTGCCCGTTCTTGGCTGCCAGGTGCAGGCAGGTAAGTCCCTGCATGCAGTGACAAGTTGGGTATCATCGCTCAGGCAAAAGTTCCCCGAAAACCGAGTTTACTTCTTTGTCAGTGGTGGACGGGTCGAAGCGAGACGACATACACCTCTTCAGCCAGGCAGCGTCTCCCACAGTACACGCCAGCAGTGCGGTGTTCATCTTTTCAGGCTGCCTTAGCTCCACAGCTGACCTCAAGCTAGAAAAGGGGTGTAGCTGAATGCCTGTGCTTAATCAAACGTGGGTGGTCTCGCTAATAAGCGCATGCGCAATTCCCGGCTTGACGATGATGATCACATTAGTGAAGGAGGACTTGTGATGACGTTCGTGGAGGGGGTGGAGGGTGGAGGAGGAGCAAGAGGGGTAGGAGGTTGGAATACAATGCCTCTGCTCATAAACTCGTGGCTCATATCTCTCTCTATTGTCTCCCATACCTGAGTAATGGTGTTTGATTTACACGAGTTCTGCTATGTGACTTACTTCTTCTTCGTCAGCTGCAGAGAAGTAGGAAGATGTGGCTGCCACTGTCTCTGATTCAGTTGGCCGAGGAGTTGCTGGGGTAACAGTGTGGCTGGTGACCATACCATACACACCGCCAGGCGAAGGTTGTGGAATGGAAGTCATGTTATACCGTAACGGCTGCACTTCAGGTATGGTTTGGTAGGGAGATCTTTTGGTAGTGGATGTGGCATATGGACAATGAGGAGATGGAGTCTTAGTGTTGCATAATGATGACGGGGCCATAGCTTTGTGTGGAGATGGGAGTATAGTTGGTGTTACTGGAGACGGAGGTATTGTATTGTAAGGAGATGGAGGCAGAGAGTTGTAAGGAGATGGAGGCAGGGTGCTGTATGGATGTGGTGGGATGGCACCTCTATTGTAAGGAGATGGAGGCAGAGAGTTGTAAGGAGATGGAGGCAGAGAGTTGTAAGGAGATGGAGGCAGGTTGCTGTATGGATGTGGTGGGGTGCCACCTCTATTGTAAGGAGATGGAGGCAGGGTGCTGTATGGATGTGGTGGGATGCCACCTCTATTGTAAGGAGATGGAGGAACACTGTGTGATGCTTGGCCTCCTGGATGTCCACCAGGTACTTCAAATGTTGGCACTCTGTGAAATGCCACGTTGGAATAAGACACACACGCTAAACACAAGTCAGTAATACCTCTGGTACTGCCGCAAATGCCTTGCTTTCTGACGGAAGCTCGTGTACCTCATGTAGAGGTAAATGGTGCCCGCACAGCCTCCGATGATCAGCATGGGCAGCACTCCACCCAGTAGGACAGTGTGCAACATGTGATTGAATTTGGCCCTGAAATTGGACAGTTCGTCAGAGCCTTGATTTGCAGCAACATAGCCACTATGTCTATTAGTGGAGAAATGACAGGGTCTTCCCGGACCGGCTCTCTCGGTCTCAATTGTGCAAGAGTAGTTGGCATTGTGTTTGAGATTGGTGAGAGTCAACTGGTGAACTTCGGAAGGGACGTAGTATGTCTTGAAATCTGCAGCCGGGTCCCAGCTAGCATTGACCAGTGTCTTGTAGTACGCTCCAGAGCAGAGAACCTGTGTGTGTGGGAGGTTTCAGACACAGACGACTACTACTGATCAGATCCTCACAATGTGGTGTAGTCTCTGGGAGGATGTCTGGGGTTTCCAGTAGATAACTGCTGCTGTAGGCTCCACTCTATCTACTCTCAGGCAGTCTGGTCGACTCAACTCCTGACTGCCTCCTGGTGCCATACATTCACTACTTTACTTATGCAGGCTTATGCACAAGAGCCTACCTTTCGTGCAAGATACGGTGGTAATTAGTACAGAGAGCAGGTAAACAAAGATGAAATGTTGCATTTCCTCCTCTGCGGTGTCGTGGAAAAACGTTGCTATGCTGCGTGCGCCGTATGCGCATGCTCAGTAGAGGGTGGCATTTGCGCATGCTCAGTTAGGTGAAACTGCAGCCCCCGCCCCCTTACGTACTACCTGTACCGTAATGTCGTCCCAGCAGCAAAAACCTGAACCAGAGCCAGGCCGAGGAATTGCAGGAGTAAGAACTACTGGAGTGTTCAGAGCCGTCAACTTCGAGCTCTTTGCTCGGCCCGTAAGTCGGTACATACGTACTGGTTATCTGTTAGATGTATTGGTTTATGGCTTCAGAGAAAGAGTGTGATGGTGCTGGGAGCCGTGTGCATGGCTGGCTGCACGGCCTACCTCCTCTTCCTCAACATGAACTCCGAGGGAAACAGACAGCGCCGCTCTACAGACACTGGCAAAACTAGATGGGACAGCTAGCAGAATAATATTATCATTTCATCTCACTCCCAGTCTATATATTATTATGTAAGTTCACACCACAATAAAAAAACATTATATTTATCCAATAATTATGTATTTGAAGAAGTGAGAGGTGATATGAATGATTTGAATAGAGTCGCTGCGGATGATAATAACGGGCAGAGGGGGGCTAGTGCTATCTGGAGGCTGTCTCATAGGCCTGCAGTTGAGAGGACAGTCTCTGTATCTCCTGGCCCAGAGTGTCGATACTCTCCTGTGTGTGTGTGTGTAGACAGAACACAAGACACATTAACTTTGTGTTGCTGCGTGTAAGGCGTAATACTGAGAGAAGCAACCGACATTTTTTCTCTGCAAATTCTCCTTATAACGTACAGCCCCCTCGTAATGGTTCCTCACCTTGAGAGTGATGTTCTTGAGCAGAGTGTCCTCCAGCACCGACTGCATCTTGCGGTTCATCTCCACCGAGAGGTCAAGGTTCACATCACTGTTGTGGGGGCGTGCCCCCGAGAAGACGGAGGCCATGATCCCGTGTCGACGAGAGTGCCTGACCTTGTGCTCGTCAATGGATGGCGGGGCCAGTGCACCCGTCTGCTCACGCATTATGAAATCCTGGATGATCCTGTGTGTGGCAGTTGATAACACCGTGAAGGACACCTCTTACAAACACTATAGTGTACAGAGAGTCCTAGTGCCAATGTACACTGTTTTAGTGCACTGAAAAACAAACAACTGACTTTGACTTCCTCTGGATGTCCTCAGTGAGTTGGTGTGAGTGGGACTCAAAGAACTCGACTCTCTCCTCGCAGCGGGCCATGTCTCTCTTGAGGGAGCATATCTTCTCCACCAGCAACCTCTTCTCCTGGTCCAGGACCCCCTGGAACATTAACCCTCCCCCGCTCCCACCCCCAGGGGATAAGGCTCGCTCAGAATGCTGCACTGACAACTGATATAAGAGAGGAGAAAAATTACGCCAAGCCCCTCTTAGAGGATGTAGTATTGTAGTTCGTACATCTCAAGTATTCAGTCTGGAGTTCTTTCACAATCATGGATTACATGCTACGTCATGCACCCTACTATATACTTGCACTAGGCACCCATGACCACACCAATGCTTATTGGCTTGGCAGGTGAACTGAGTGTGGAATTTCACATGTATCATTTCAGTACCTGTCAAATGAAACATTTCGCACAATTCAGCCAACTAGACTGGCTCATTTCACTCGCCATTAATCCCGTTACCTCTCCATCTTCTGGAGGGGAGGAGGATGCTCTGTGCGGATGGTGATGTGTGAGGAGTGTGGAGGGAGGGAGGGCGTCGATGGAGGAGTGCGAAGAGGCCCTGGAGCCCTCAGTGATGGGTAGGGTGGCTGGAGGTTCGCGATCAGGCGGGACCTGGCTCTCGAGGTGCTCCATTCTCCTGTTCATACACCAGGCAGGGGAAACCACACAGTGACACAGCACACACCACAGAATGTAGACAAAGGTGGGGGAGACAGAGTAGAACAAAGGATGGCGAGGGGAACAAAGACAGAGTGTTGAGATCAGACCTCTTGCAGTGGGCGATCTGTCTCTGAAGGTCTTTGGTGCTGCTAGTGTGCTTCCTCTTCAATGCCTTTATCTCCTCTCTCTCGTCTTCCAGTGACATTGTCAGCTGCTCCACTGTAAACACCGCCCAGAACACACTTATAATAGGGATCACAGTGCTTTAGTGCAAGCTGCTGCATGTGTCAGTATCAGGCGTTACAAACTACATCTAGACATTTTATTCCCATAGAAATGGGGAACTGGTGCCAATAACAGTTAACACAGTGACAGAACTTTATCTCTGCACCTGCTTTTGATTTCTGTTCCAGGGACTCCACGAGATGGGCTATCTGAGAGGAGCTGTCCTCCCGCAACTCAGACAGCTCTCCCTCTGCCTTCCTCCTGGCCTCTAGCGCCTGTGACAGCGAGGCCCTCTGAGCTGTCACCTCCTCTGTCATGGACACCTCCTGCACCAGACACACAACATGCTGAGCTGTGAACACCACAACTTTCTCCTCCTCCTCCTCCCCTCCCCTCACCTTTGTCTCCCAAGAGGTCGGGCTGCCTGGAGCTGGGCATTGGCCGAGGAGAGTTTCTCAGTGAGTGAGAGTAGCTCCTCCTCCCTGTCCTTCCTCCGGGCAAGGTCCTTTTCCAGGTGCTGGTAGGACCGCTGCAGCTGGGTGTACGTCTCTTTCAGTGTCGACAACTTCTGCTTCTCCCTACACACACACCATACAGCCAGTTGAAGAAATGTCAAGAGTGTGCTCACTGACAACTGACCCTTCCATGGATTGATTGATCTGCTGCAGGTTGGAGAGTTCAGAGGTCAGTTTACTCTTTGCTTCTTTTAAAACTTTGACCTCTGACCTCAGTTCGTCAAGCTCGCTCCGGACTTCTGCCAGATGAACACTCTGTTCTGACATCTGGAGGAAGGGATGGAAGAAGGCAGGGAGTACGAGGGAGTAAGGAAGGCACGGAGGGAGAAAGAGACCTTGGTCTTGAGTTGCTGACATTCGGTGACTGCGATGCTGTGTGCGGCCTTGGCAAGCTCAAGTTCTTTAACAGTGAGTGTGTGGAGCTCCTGCTGGTCGGCAATCTCCTGTTCGTGGGCCTTCAGCTCCTTCTCTGTCTCCCTCAGCTTCACGTCCAGAGAGTTGGACCTCATCTCCTCACTCTCCTGCGTATGTACACACATCACCACCACCATACAGTGTGAGGGGGAGACTCACCTGGTACTGAGTAATCATGGTCTTGAGATCCGACCGAATCTGTTCTCCTTCCTCCCGTGCCTGGTTCAACCTCTTGGTAGTAGCGGTCAACTGCACCTTTGTTTCCTGCACCAACACCAGTCCCCAGAACTGCATTACCCTGATACTCTGGTGTTATGGTGCCCACCTTGTGAGCATCGGTCTCAGCCTTGAGCTTGTTCTGTCCCCAGCGGACTTTCATATTGACAGAGGACACCTCTTCTTTCAGTCTGGCCACCTCCTTGCTCTGCTCACCCAGTTTAGACTCCTGGTCAACAAACAATTGCCGAGCTACATACAGAATGCTGTGGTATATTATATAGCTGACCTGTTGTTGTGAGGTAGCTTGCAGTTTTGCCAGCTCAGTCTTCTGTTTCTTTACCACTGATTGCAGCCTCTCGCTCTCCTATAACATCACAACACAGTGGAAGTGTGAGTCTCAGAACATTGCTGTACACTTGAGCTGAGCTTACTTTCACTGCTGCACCACAGGACTCCTGACTGGAGGCTAGCTCCTCCCTGAGCGACTTTGCCTCCGCCTCGACTGACGCCACCTTCCCCACCAGTGAGTCTTTCTCTCTCTGGACATTCTCATACATCGTGGTCACCTGGGGACACACACCAACACAGACAAAACTCCAAGTTAGGGTATATAGCTAGATACACATAGCCACCACCACCCAATTTTAATATTCACAAAGGGGGTATTTGTGTATAGTTTGTAATCTTCCTGACTTTCTCTTTCAATGGACTCTCAGAGCTCTGTTCAAAGGGGAGAGGGGTAGCCCCTGACCTGATCGACTCTAAGAGCCAGTTCTTTCTCCAGCCCTGCCCTCTTTGCCTCTGCCTGTTCTGTCTCTGTCTCCAGTTGTTCCTGGAGAGAGTCCAACTGCTCCTGCTGGCTGAAACACTTGGCCTCCAGCTAAAAACACACACACACCGCAGTCAGTGGTTCATTATCAGCTGAATGAGAGGGAGGGGACATGCACCCATTCAGGCACTAGCTGACCTTCTTGGCAATGACTTGATAGGGCTGCTCCTAGATGAAGAGACATTAATTTGCAACAGTGTTTGTTTTTAGTGGTTTTATTTCCCTCCATTTGTTGGTGACGCACAAGTCATCAGTGCTACGTACCTTTTGAGCATTAGGATTAGAAGATAGTTGCTGCTTCAAGACATCTCTCTCTGCTTTTACCTGCTCCAACTGTTCTCTGACATACCTGTATCTGTCAGATGAACTACAGCTAATGGTGTGCAGCAAGCTGTAATGATGATAAGCAAACCTTTCTTCCCACGGAATCTCGCTACCTCCACTCCCGGAGCTACTCTCTAGCTGCTCGTGGCTGGATGTGTCGTACAAAAGCTCTTCTTCGCCGTCCAACTCGCTTTCGCTCTCTCCCCCTCCCGTCTTCTTCTGCCGCAATCACGCCGTTCTCCGTGTATTCCCGCACCTCCTCGTTTTCTTGTGTCTTTTTCGCATCCTTTCCTCCTCCTTTTCCCTCCTCTCCCGCCTCGTCGCTTACGCTGAGAACCTGGGAACTCATCGCCTTCTTCACACTTACTACGTAGGCGTGGCTTACAGAAGCCGATGGGCGTGGCCTCGGTACGTGAGTGCGCGCGCCGACCACCATTGTTTTGGTGCGCACTTGCTGGAGAAAATGTCGTCGGCGGTGGATTCAAACATCGCTGCTCTGCAGCAATGCGGAGACATCTTACGGATTCAAGAGGAAGCATGCAACATATTGAAGAATAAAGTAAATCCGATGCAGCTACCCGACAAAGCATCCATGTTTCATACACACAGCTACAGGCTACAAGAGAGCATGCGGTACCTCACGAAGATTTTCAGTCCCTAGAGCAAGAACTTGAGGTATACTGACTGTAGGCATGGATATCCAAGGTCTGGTATGTCAACTACTGTAGTGTGAGAAGGCTGATCACCAGCAGACGAGGAGAGAGCTGGAGGGAGAAAGGGAGAGGGCCAGACTTGCAGAGTCTGAGCTCGCCATTCTCAGAAGACAGCTCAGCAGAGAAAAGACAACGTTTGAGAATGCGTGAGGAGTTGCTGTAATCTGTACTGATTAAATTTTTACCTTGCAATAGCTTTGGACTTCTCAAATTGCAAGCTCTAAGAGATTCTTCCAAGGCTGAGGATCTGTTGGCAAAATGCTCAGGTAAACAGAAAAAGAGCAGCATTGTTTATCAGTCAATGACCTGTTGGGGTGGAGCAGTGTTGGAGGCTCTGTGTGCTCAGAAAGATGAGGAACTTGGCTCCAAGGAGCAGGTGATAGAGAAGTTGCAGATTCGACTGAAGGGAGTGGAAGAGAGTTATCGTCAGGAGATGATGGAGGTTCAAGTACAGGCCCAGCAGGATGCCTACATCGCCAGCCACCTTCGGCTGCAGGAGGCACGGAAAAGCAGAGGGAAGAAACAGCAGAGAAAATGCTAGCTACATCATGTCCTCATTATTATACGTGCATTCAGCAATCAACCGCATTATAATTTTTCCACACATGTTAGTGGCGTGTATATAGGATTCTTGTCTCTGGGTATAAAGAGACCTGCGCACGCGAACCGGCAGTCAGTCTCTCGCGATCTTTGTTTTAGCTACTGTTTTGAAGCGTCTTTTTCTTCAATTTTTTCCTCGAACGTTCAGCTGTGAAGACCTCTCTTTGTGACATGGCGTGTGTGGTGGAGTGCTACAACCCAGCGCTGGCTCCGTCCAGTGTCGCTGACCTTCTCATGATACCCGAGTCTCTCCGAGCCAAACTCAGCGTCGCAGCAGCAGGCCCCACCACGACGGTCTCGGTTTCTCCGGGAGCCTTCCACTCGGCTCTCTCGCAGGACCTCTGCTCCTCGGAGCATTCCCTCCACAGCAGCTCCGGCTCCACCACAACTGTCGGGGCTGCAGCAGACGTCCGAGGAACTTGGTCGTCTCCACCGAGCGGCGCTGCACTGGGTGCTGTCGCTACGCGTGCCGAGCCGTCGTCCCCTCCGCCGAGCAACGCGGAGCAGCTCGGCCGACCCTCCGCTGCACTCGCCGAGTGCATCCACAACACCATGCGGCAACGAGAAGCAGCCCTGCCCCCCGTCCAGCTAGCATCCCCTCAGCTGCACAAAAGGTACGTTTGCACAGGTAGCTATACAGCTGGTTGACAGACTGTTGTTCTTTCAAAAAACGCACAGGACCTTCATAGCGGACTTCTTGCACGGAGCGTGCGATATACTTCACTTGACGCGCAACACGAGGTTCCTTGCCATGCTCTTAGTGGACCACTTCATGGACAAGCACATTGTCATGGACTACAGGCTCAAGCTGGTCGCACTGGCCTCTCTACTGGTGTCTGGTAAGCTATTGCCATACTCTAGTATAACACCTCTCTCCATGCAATTTGTTGTGCATGCAGCCAAGTTTGAAGAGCATGAGGAGAACATGCTATGCATGGAGCAGTTGCAGACGATGGCACACCAGTGCGGGGAGGACCCAGATCATTACACCAAGCAGGAATTCCTAAAAATGGAGCTCTACCTGCTCAAGTTCTTTGACTGGAGCGTGTCTTATCCCACTGCCGTCCACTTTGCCGAGTACTTCCTGAGCACCGAGGGCACCGAGATGACAGAGGAAGAAACCTGCAACCCGGTGGTGATCTCTGGTTCCCCGTTAAGTCAGCAGGAGAGAAGTGAAATGAAGGCTCAGATGGACAGACTCACATCTTGCTTCTTGGAAGCCTCACTCAGAGGTAAGTGTGGATAACCTCCATTGATGGGTACATGCCATGTTGCAAATTGGCACGCTGTGAGCAAACATGTACATAGGCTACATGTACAGTTGTCTGTAGCTGTTACATGTACATGTACGATTGTCTGTTGTCTAGGAGAAGTTTGTTTTCTTGTAACGATGTTGTAGTCAAAAACATGAAACACGTATTCTTATCTGATAATCCATAAAGCACACTACAATTTGCGATATGTTTTCGAATTGTGCATGCATATTGTGATGAATCACTCTCTCTGTCTGTGTGTCTCATTTCAGAGACACTGTTTCTTCAGTATCCGAGCTCGCTGACTGCTGCTGCGGCTCTGTGTGCAGCTCGGATCTGCCTCGGGCTGCCCACTGCCTGGAACCACAAGCTGACCGGCGTCACACACTACGATCTCCAAACGATGTCACATGTCGTCGACCACATGCTCAAGTAAGGCAACTGCATGTGGCAGGCTTAGTATATATTATTAATCTTTTATATTTCCAAAATCCCCACAGGCTATTCTACAATGACAGTGACGCATAAATAAAGGCGGTTTATTGTAATATTGGCACCTCAACTGCACTTGTAAAGGCCACAAAATCACTTACTAAAGATCACCACCACTCTTCTATTTCAGCACCACTTCACCCACTATTTCTCGTCTTTTAAAGCACCACTTCACTTCAACTGCTCTTCTATTTAATATCACTATGTTTTATGGTATTGTGTTCAGAGTTGGCAAAAAATAAAGTATTTACACTGATATAATTATTATGATTACTGATTATAAAAACATAACAAGTAATAACTATAATATAGCTCTAGATGAACTGGACGTTTAGTTCAACGAGCCCAAATAAAAGAGAATATCTACAGTTATAAATTAGATAAAAGAGAGTTAGTGTGCTAATGGGCAAAGCATGATATGATAACAGACAGCTGAAGGGAAAATGGGCATCTTTAGTAATATACAAAGAGGGCTGGATGCGAGAACAGGTCAGTGGTGATAAGTTGAAGGGTAGACGAGGGAGGAGGGAGGAGAACCGAGGAAAGGCTGGGGCGAGTTGAAGTAGAAGAAATGATTGGAGGGAGGCATGAGGAGCTGAATTGCTGGCTGGTGGGAGAGGGGGTGGAGGGGGTGCCGGGAGAGAGCGTGCGTGAGGACCGGGAGGGAGGGGAGGGTGTGGTGGTGCAGTGGGGTGAGAGAGGAGAGAGGGGAAATGGAGGGAATATGTGCAGCGGGAGGCAGAGGAGGAGGGAGAGGAGGCGAAGGGAGGGTGGGTAATGAGAGAGGCAGAGGAGGAGGGGGTATCGAGGGGACTTTTGTAGGTAGAGACGCAGCAGCTGGTTTGGAAGCTCCACAGACAATACTTGTACTAGTCAATGGAATGGAGACCGTCTTGCTTGTCTCTTCTTCTTCTTCTTCTTCTTCTCCCAGATCAGGTGAGTCCGAGACACCGCCGCAACACGTCTCACACTTCCGCTCACCATTCACCTCGACAAACCTGTTGCGTCTGTGTTTTCCGCAGTAGGATATAGGACACGAGGTGCAGAAGACAAACGCCCTCTTGCTGCAGACGGTGCAGTAATGACGGGGGCACACCCACTGCTCCGGTGGGATGAGCTTCCTACCGATGCAGTGGAGATGGTAGACCTTGCGACACTTGCCAAAATCGCAGCAGAGCAAGTCTCCTCCGTCGCCACATAAGAAACAATCGTTATCGTGGGTCTCCTCGACGGAGGGGGCACTGGGAGGAGGGAGGCGGGGCTTTTGTGGAGCTGGCGGCTTCGGCTTCTTCTTCACCTTTGGTTTTGGTTTCGGCTCGACCTTTGACCTCACCCCGATGAACCCGCTGCAATTACGGCTCCCGCAGAGGCACTCCTTCTTCTCGTTCCCAAGAGAGTCCAGCTGGTAGTCAAACGTTAGCTCGGTTCCGGCTTTGATGTCCTCCTTGGCAAAGATCCCCACTCTACTCTCGTGCCCGACCGTCCACTTCTGCGTCTCGCAGTTTGGATCACAGCTGTGGTTGATGAAGCGAGCGTGGTTCGATTTCTCCTTGGCGTCGATGACCAGCCCGTTCCTGCTGTCCAGCGTCAGCATGTAGAAGTGCTGGGTCTGCGTCTCGTGTGCCTTGCGCAATCGCTCCCGACACATCTCCATATCCAGGACCTCTCCGACATACTCCACAACGAAATCTCCCTCCCGGATGTCGCTGGCCGCCCGCAGGCCCCACCCCCTGCCCCCCGTGTAGAAGGGGGTGGCGTTGGCGTACTGGAAGCGCCGCATCTTCTGGTTGTGGCAGAAGAGACCCACGGGGCAGGTCTTGGGGTCGCACTCCACGTGGATGGCCCGATTGACACAGATTGAGTCGTCATCACAGGGGCTCTCTGGGGTGCACTGGCAGGGGAGGGAGTGGAGGTCATCGTCCGATATCGTGGGCCGCGGCACAAGGTACTTGTTGATCTATGGACATCAGGCAAAAAGATTGAGAACAAGAACATAGTGTTTTAATGCGAAGGATATTGCTGCAGTGATAAACAGTGTGATCAAGATAAAAAAGGTTTGAACCACGAAGCGCATGAGTCGTGTGTGAGAGTATCTGAGAGGGGGTGAGTGAGGTAAGGTGTGTCAGGAACGTACTTTTTACTGTTTCTGCTTTACGGTTTACGGCATACAGGAGGTGGACATCGGAGCAAACCTTGATTTTGGTGTAGGCCTTGCTCTCCTGTTTGGGCAGAGGTTTGCTCTTCTCCTGCACTCTCATCTGCTCCATGTACAGATCCATCGCCTCCTGACAAGCTGGAGGACAGGAGAGATAGAGAACTGTACTGACGCATGCGTAGTATCAATGGGCTAATAGTGTCCACATTCCATAATTAGTGTACTGGGCGATTTCAAAGTGCGTAAGTGTATCTATGCAATTATGCCGAGTGTTGTTTTAGTGCTACACAGTGGCCAGCAGTATTGCTATATACACTCCCACTACACTCCAACTGGAACAGCACTTTCTTGTGGTCAGTCACAGTGTGAGTGATCAGACAACTGCAGCAACTCATCTCCCACCCACCTCTCTTGAAGACCTTGTCCGTGTGAGCGTGCTTCTTCCCGTGGTTTCTACACATCTTGTTGACCTCCTTGGCAGGCTCGGCTCCGGGCTCCAGGGATAGGGAGAGCGTCCGTCCGTGGTGGATCCAGCAGTAGTCGTTAGTCCCACAGAACCTTTGCATTGTGTAAAGAGAGCAGTAAACTCGGCTCTTACAGTACAGTAGTACTCAGTATGGTATGAGACATGGTGTCTGTCAGGTACAACTAGTTGACATGCCATACATGGCAATTCACGTAGTGTGGGAGCATTATGAGCATACCTGACAACAAACATGCCCTCTCCGGGCCGTTTCCTCACGATGTTGTCTGGTACATCGTCCATCGGAACCACAAGCCCCGGCCACCACCTGCATAATGTACAGTACATCAACGTGTATACCAACATACAACTAGGCACCAACATAAACGTACGCAGTGTGTGTGTGTGTTACTGTTTCTAGGGTACTTATGTATGTAACAATGGAGGTGAGCCAATGGAAGAAATGCGGAGCTAATCAAGAATCTGGCAACATTTTTTGGCTACTTTTACACATGCAGGTGGAGGAGAGGGAGAGTGTGTGTGTGGGAGAGAAGAGGTAAGGTGCTAATTGGTCACCTCCAAATGCCAAACTTGCACAGTACCACTGAGCTGTAGGTGGGGAGGTCGTGGTCTCTACATGCCGGGCAAATCCATTTCTCAGTCGACAATAATTCCGCTCCTCTCTCCCTCCTCTCCCCTTCCTCCACGGGCAAGTGGTGTTCCTCCATGCACTCTCGGTGGTAGGCCGAGGAGCAGAAGTCACAGCAGTACAGCGACCCGGACTCCCCACACTCCAGACAGGTGTCCATGTTGAGGTGTTTGTAGAGGTTCAGTTCTGACTCGATTCGAATGTGGAGGTAGCAGATCATTTGTGAACTGGAGATCAGGCTGCACCCGGCCACCAGGCAGTGCGGCTTGTGCAGTGCGAGCGGGCACTTGACGCACTGGACGAGCGTGCTCCCTCGCGGTGTGTAGGCCGACCCGAGGTCGCTGCAGACACACTTTGCACAGCAGTGGAGGGGACACGTGAACTTTGTCTTGAGGTCGTCGAACACAAACAGCCTGTCGTCGTGAATGCAGGAGCGGTGGTAGAACTTTCCACACCTCGGCTTGGCGCAGCAATCTAGGGGACCGGTCGACCCCGAGCACATGAAGCACTGTCTGGGCACGGCCTGGCACTCGTCACAGACAAACTGGAAACTCGGCGGTGCTACTAACCCCAGGCAGTCGACGTGAAACGCCTGGAGACAGTGTCCCTGACACACCAAGAGACCCGAGTCTCGTGCATCACAAATGGCGCAATCCCCACTGCGAAATTCCGGTGCGAAAGACTCTGTTCTTGTATTGCTCTTGGCAGAAACTGACTTGGTCGTCCTCCCTCTCCTTCCGAAAGGTTTCTCGTTTGCCTCCACATGAGAGTCTCCAGGCCCCATTCTCCCCACACTCCCCCTGTCGTCCTCACCGGGGGCCTCGGTCCCGGAGCTGGGAGGGGTCAGAATGGCCGATGCTATGCTCACACCAGACATCTCGCTCCCGCTCTCCGAACCGGGATCCAGAGCCAGTCTCTTGACTGGCGGAGGTGCCGACGACACCTCACACTCCACGGGGACCACGGCCCTCCTCCCCCTCGTTTCCCTCTTCCCGAGAGGAGCAGCGTGTCGGAAGTTTTGTTTGGAGGTGGAGTTTTTCCTCGGTCTGCCGGGGCCCCTCCTCATTGGCGCCGGGGGAGAAACGACCATTCCATTGGGGGGCTTCTCGGGGAAGCGTTTGCTGTCTCTCTCTCCTCCTGCAGCACACGCCTCGTTTAGAACTTTATCAACAGTTACTGCAAACGAGTCCATTGTGACAGGACTTTCGCCGATCAGTAAACTTGGCGCAGAGCCAGAGGGTTTCCCCAGCCCATTGAAAGGGAGCGACACCACAAAATTCTTTGCAGCATCTCCGCCCGAACCACTGCAGCTTCGCACACGTCTTCGTCTGGAGGTAGTTCTGACTGAGAGTGGGACTTCGTTTCTTTCCATTCGTAATGACGTCGTCGAAAGAGAGCAACTGGCGCTGTTTCTTCTCCTCTTGTTCTTCCTCCTCTTGTCCAGCGTTGTTTCCAGGTCACCTCTCTTGACAGGGCTTACTCTAGCCTCTTCTACCACTTCCGCCTTGACAGACATCGTCCCCTCCCCTCTTCTACCTCCACCCTCCTCTGCTCCCTCACTCTTCACCAGGACCTTGGTAGTAGGGGTGGATGGTAGCGGATCAAAGTTAAAGATGAACTTTAGTTTCCTCTCTTTGTGGGTCAGTCGGAGTGCCTCGGTAGCCTCCCGAATAGCTACCTCAAACTCGCACTTCATCTTCTTCCCAATAGTGACCGTGGGCAGTTTTCTGCTGGCAGTGTCAACGAGTGGCTCGTATTGAAGCTGCGAGACCCAGCCTCGCACGGCCGAAATCCCGAAATATTGGACGTGGACCTGGTGGATTCCTCGCGGGGTAGTACGGACGAGGATCGCCTGGTGAGGTTCGTAGGTGACCATCGCAGGCCACCACAGGGAGTAGCGCTTTTTGTTCTCGCGGCACCAGAGGAGGTCGCCCACCCTGTGTTTCGGTAGGGAGGGAGGGGTGGGGCCCATGGTGTGCGTCGTAGCATGCAACTTGCTGCATCTCGAGTGACTCATACTGACTGTAGTAGGAGGTGGTCTCTATGGGTGAATACACAGACAGAGTGAACAATCATGGGCACTATTTATACGAACCAAAAAAAGTGTACTGAAGGGATACTTTCAGCTAAAAGCAAATAGTAGGCTTCTGCTGGTCAGAAACACTCTCAATAACAATTACCACTCACTGTTCCGCTATTGGTTTGGTCTGTTCGCTCCTTCTCGGACAGGATCACAGCATTCCGATCTCTTCTCGCTCGTTATCACGAACCAGCGGCTCCACCATTAGCGGATTTGAAGTAAAGGCCGCGCGTAACTTTAAGCGCCCATATAGAGCGCGCGATAATAAAACGTACGTACAAAATTATCATGTGACGGCCACGTGCTCTTGCTGTTGCGCGCGCGGAAAATACAAAATCAGATCAGCTAATAAATCAATCAGCATCATCATCATCATAGTTCAGCATTGGAATCCCACCGCCACCACCAGTCCTACGAAAAACAAAAATTTCAATATTAATTATACGTGTAACATTATTTCTGAGTGCCACACCTCTTTACTGGCTGACGAACAAATGGAGAGTGCTCCCCAATTAACGAGTCATCACTCTCCTCCGCCGTTTCCTCCTTTCCCTTCCTGCCTCGCGGAGTGACACCACTGAATTCTGATATCCGCTTCCGAGCCGACATTTTTGCAATCCTGGACGTATATGCATAACACATTGAAGCAGTGGGACTCAACAGACCAATCTTCATTGTTTCAGATGTGTGGGGGTAAGGAACTGTCTATAATATGCACAAGTTCTGTGGAAGAGTATATACCTGCAAGACCTGACTCTTGATGGTAAAGATGAGAGCTGCTGAGGAGGTCTGAATACAAGAGAGAGAGAAAGAGAGCAGTTTGAAGTGGGGAAGACCGACACTCACTCACATTTCCACATCTCCACAACTGTCGCTGCCGTCCTCGTCACTACTGTCCAGGAAGGTAGTCCTCTTTCTCCTTTTCTTCACTGTTTTCTTCGATGACGCCTTGGCTGAGGAAAGAGACATCCTGAACTCTCATCCAAGCATTGTACGATAGTGCTCACCTTTTCTAGTGGATTTTTGAACTACAGACTTTGACTTGCTTCTGGTAGCGGTCTGTTGGGCAGGACTAGCACGTCGCGGGGGAGTGGTGGCAGGAGCTACTATAGTATCATCACCAACTTCCTCCCTCTCCTCCTCCTCTTCTTTCTCCTCCAACTTGCCATCTGCTGTTGCATCGTCTGCCTCTCTGTCCCCTTCTCCCTCCACCTCATTGCCTGCCTCCTCCACCTCCTCACCCTCATCTCCCTCCCCCTTCTCTTCTCCTCCTCCTCCTTCCCCACCTCCCTCACTGCTCCTCAGAGACCGAACGACCTTTTTGATGTAGTTAAGACTTCTCTTGTCACCCACGTTTCTCTCAATCTGCTCCATCAGAATCAGCAACTCAGCCTAAAGATACAAATAAGAGACATATTATTATACATAACCCATACGGACCAGAAAAACATAGCTACAAATCTAATGTATACTAACACTAATTCACAGCACTAAGCTACATGCAAAATCCTCAGTGTTTCCATAAAATTGGCAACTCTGTGACTATTTGGCACTTGTTCTCAATTACCGTGTGATTAATAGACATGTATATTTCCTACAAGAGGTGTTTGGTACAATGCACCAAGACGTGAGGTTATTATCTCACCAGCACAACGGGTGTGTGCCTCCACCCACCTTGTTGGAGGAGGAGAGTTGCATGTGTGTGAGCGAGCGGCAGTAGACCCTAGTGAGCACACTGTTCTCTGGCTCCGACAGAACAGCATTAGCCACACTTATTGCCAGACTGTCGTGCACAGAGTCCTCCTGCGGACGAGCAACAAACCCTGCTAATTAGCGGCTAGATCACAGGGTTCTCCCCCTACGTTTGGCTCCTGAGGGGCACAGAGGTGGACCAGGTAGTCTGCCAGCTGATCCAGGTCGATGCCTCTCAGAGGAGACTCGGCAGGGGCCTCTGATATTGCCTCCAGAACCGGCAGAAACACTTCTCCCACCATCCCTCGACAGCTCCTTCACAATGGGAAACAATGGCGTCCATTAACATAACAGGAAATTAAAACTTTCGTACAGATAACCATATGCAAAATAGTTTTTGCAGATAGTTTGACGTTTAGCTAATGCATCCCTCCTACCCACAACATTTGACAGATAAAAAGTGCAAGATCCTCTCTTTAAACCTTCATACATGCAGAGAGACCAAGGAGATGTAGTATATACCTGTCAGAGGAGGCAAAGGCCGGGAAGAAGATTCCCCAGCACTGCACGGAGTCTGGCCTCTTCGTCAGTGGAGGGGTCTACCCACAGAACGAGGAGTCTGGCAAGCAGTTTCTGGCTGATGACTCGGCGGCTCAGCAGCAGTTTGGCCAGCCCCTCCCCTGATATCTCTCTCAATACCGGACTCTGCAGACAGTTACAATACACAGTATTGGCTTATGGTGGTAATTTGAGAGTCATCCATTATTTTTCGTTCGGACGGGAAATGTATTACAGTGGGACTTATTTTTTAGCTACACAAATCATGTGACCCTCCACCATAGAGCACGTTGTAAGTATGTACCTCTCCGTCAAGGAAGTCTGCCATGGTGGCCAGGATTTTCTGAGTTATCTTCTTGGTCTCACCATTCTCCCCTGCTCCCTCCTCACCTGCTCCCTCCTCTGCACCCTCCTCCCCTGCTCCCTCCTCCCCTGCTCCCTCCTTACCCGCCTCCCCACCCTCCACCTCTTTACCCTCACCATCTGCCACCAGAGTCTCCTAGACGGAGGCAAACACCATAGTCAGAGCTCGATCCAACCCGGCGTTCAAGTCCCTGCAGCAGCTTATCCATAATTATGCAATCCTTAACTCCCACACTTCCAATCTCCACGTGTGATAAAAGCCTCTACAAAGTGTCCTTGCTACACTACACCACTAGGGCCCTCAGCAGGCCTACAAATATCTGAAAGACTCTCTGTCTAAAGATCTCAACTCCACAGCCTCACATCAGCCTGGTCCTGTGTGTCGGGAGTCTTGGTCTTGGAGGAGCTGCCCGGACAGGTGAGGCTGAAGGCCTCGAATCCAAACAGTAGTAGGAGATCAAACACCACCTTCACCGCCGTGGCCTGCACTGACTCGTGGTCCACCTGACTCACCTACACACACACACATCAACCATCATCTAACACAGATCACTGCTGCTTACTATTACTGAATCCATGTCTAACTTATCATAGTGGTGGGCTGGCAGAATGTCATGACAATCTCATTTGGGCAGTTCAGTATTTTGAATAGACATGTTGTTAGCTACATCTGCTATGTATGTTTGAATACATCAACCCTCACCAAAAGCTAACACTTATGTAGTGTAGTACATATCTCTGCTGCTTGTGATGGTGGCTAACTTGCAGGAAGAGGAGAAGATGGTTTCTGGCCAGAGATACGTCGTGGAGACAGGCCAGACCCAGACAGCAAAAGGCCAGGTCTCGAATGTCAGGGAGCTCACTCTGAATGGAGGGGAGAACCTGCAGGAGAAGAGAGGGGAAACCCAGAGCCTTTCTAGAGATAGGTACTTACCAGAACATCGACCATTGTCTTTAGGTTTACAGGCAGTTTCCTCAGTCTCTGTTCCTTCAGCATCTCAGTGGCTATCATCAAACACCTACACACACACACACACACACACACACACAATTGCAGCAGGGACATTACCACACGCTACAGTATACCACAGGATGCCAAATTTGTTAACTGAATTACGCTCCACTTAATACTTAAGGTAAAGGGGGTGATACCTGCAACTACTATTCTTCAGTTTTACATCTGCCAGGTCAGCCGTGACATATGGCCTTGACTCTATTATTATTATTAAGCAGAGTACACCAGACCTGGCTAGTATGTCGGGGTCAGAGTGGGTGTCAAGAAGAGAGAGGTTGGAGAGAGCATTCATCTGGGACTCATCCACTGAGGTGGACTGGGAGGAGGAGGAGGGAGCTACGCCTCCACCAGAGGAGAGGGTGGCGGAGAGAGAGGGCTGCTGAAGGTCGGCTATCACCTCCAACAACTTCTCCACACTGGACGAGAGGGAGGGAGAGGAGGAGATAGAATCTCAGCGTGGTAACAGTTTTAACAGAACAGAGGAAAATTCACGACAAAAAAAAAACGTGTCCACATGCAATTGAAGTATGTACACATTCATTTGTTACGGGGCAAAACTCACATGGAAAGTTCCTGCTAAATCTTCACGGGTTAGTGTCTATATAGAGTGTGAGTATACCGAGTGTGTGGTTGAGGCCAGAGAGTAGTCTGCTGGGAGAGGAGAGGAGAGACCAGAGCCAGAGGTAGGCCGGGTAGAATCAGCAGGTCCAGCACCATCTTACCCAGTCTCTGTCTACAGCAACACACAATGGGGGAATCAACAGCAGAGATACACGTGTACATTACTGTCCAATGAAGCGAATTCTCTTACTAACCTCCCGACTTCATCTGAGAGGTCCATGACTGAGAATACGGAGAGGAGCTGGACACACACAAACTGTTTCTGCATCTCCTCCTCCACATCTTTAGCTGGCAGCAGCTCCCTCTCCACGTACCTTCACACGGACATACATTAGGTTTTATAATATAGAGACAGACATGTACATTGGGTATTGTACATATGTACGTGTGAGCTGTGTGCAGAGTATTTGAATGGTTTAGTGACTTACTGTTGAACGTAGACACAAAAGTCAGACAGAGTCGGAAGAACCTTCTCCATGAGCTGATCTCCTTCGTCTCCCATTTTGTGCAGGTAACTAGACCAATATTACGACACAAGAGTATGCAAAGAGAAGGTGTTAAGACTGACCGACACACACAACTCCAGTAGAAGGCCTCTGCAGAGTGCAGCAAGTCATAAGGCAGCACCCTCTCTGTGACGGTCATCTCCACCCTCTCCTCGTCCTCGTCGTCCCAGGACTCCAGTCTGTTGGCTGGGTCCATGAGTTCGACGGTGCTCTGGACCACCAACCCCACGTCTATCTCCTCCAGCAGCCGACACAACGCCTGTTCCGCCACCTGCACAACCACAGAGCTTAGTCTAGTGTACCATAAGAAAACGTCGATCTTTTCTCCCAACACTGTCATTCTCCCAGACTCGGTGGCAAAGGCACATAATTGAGTGCAGGTGCTACTGTAAGGGTTTTTTGAAGTTGGTGTCATGCAAAATATCGTAGATATTGTCGCTGAATTTGCTGGCTGTATCCTCACCTCGGAGGAGCTCTCCACGTCCAGTTTAGAGAGGAGGGCCAGTAGGTCTCCGTTGAGGTTGCTGCTCCAGCTGTGCAGCAGTCCCTTCACACACGCCTCTCTCACTATCTCACTTCTGGACACAGACAACAACAACACCATTACTAGAGTATTACAGTACTCTCTAGTACACCCATGAAAATGAGAACTCTCTAACAAGGACCTTTTCTTCCCTAAGAACAGGCCCTTGCGTGCAATTTAACCCCTGAAATAAGTATATCCAACTATAATAGAAGAACCCACTACTATGATTGGTCCCAATGATGTCATGACTCACTACACACTATTGCATAGGACCTGTCATTCAGGCCATCACTGAGCAGTTTAATCCTCTGCTCGATGCGAAAGTTTCTGATGTTGCATTTCTCAGCGAGCATCCAGAAGGCATCCTTCCTGATCTGCTCCTTCACGTCACGAGTCCTACTAATGATGGCTGCATTAACACACACACACACACACAGGGAGGGAGGGGGAGAGAAAGATTGACTCTAACCCAGTTCGCTACCGCTACATTTCTGGTCACGTGTTCTTGCTTTGCTTGTTTTGCTGTCTTCCCTTATAATTATGCAGTAGGGGGAGGTGGCAAAATAAACTTGGGCATGTGAGACACTCGCATTCCAAGGAAAATGGCTCCCTTCCATGCCCCCTCTGAAAGAGACCCTACGTATTGTTCAGTGAGTCGTGGACCCACCAGGGAGGGTGTGATCGGTGATGACGATGGTGTTGAGAGTGGCTCTCCTGACGTCGGGACTAGGGTCCCTCTCCAGGAGCCTGGCCAGCTCCTCCTGCAGAGAGACGTCTTCCTGCAGCAGCTCCAGTGCCTGCACTGCATGCACCCGCACCACCGGGATCTGTACAGGCAGATAGCCCTGTTAGATCATGCATTACCATACACACAGCAAGCATCCTATTTCACAGAGAGCAAATCATATAACAAAGTTTATGGGTGCATAATTGTGTGAGAGCGAATATCAGGCAATGAATATTTAACTGAATCCCACTTTACGGAATATAAATGAAGGGGTCTCCTCCCACAGACCTTGTCCCTGATTCTCTCCATCATGACATCACGGACTGCCTCCAACACTGAGCTCTGGAGCCAGCAGCCCCTCTCCACCGCACACTTCACCATCTTGGCCACCAGCTGACACGACCGGAACCTGGAAACCAGCGAAACCAGCGTTGACCTGAGGGGATCTCATGTGATATTCACCTGACAGCTCTGCCGCTGGCGCCGTGGAAGGAGAGCACCTTTAACAGCAGGAAATTGAAGAAGTTTTCATCGAGTTCTTCCTTCTCTTCTTCTTCCTCTTCTGTTTCAGTGTATCTGTCCTCACTCCCTCCATCACTCTCTCCCCTGTCCTCTGTTGCTTCTTCATCTTTGTCCTCTTCACCGTCCTCGTCTCCTGCAGCCCACAGGATATTGCAGGAGAGCTGCGACTACCGTGGAAACTCACCAGCAGCATCTTCTTCTTCCTCTCCACTAGCAGCTGTACTCTCCAGAGGAGCCACGGAGGCCGCGAACTTGGCGGCAAAGTCCAACACTCGCTCCACGGCCGGCTCCTTCCTCACCACCACCAGCGCCGCGCGCAGAGGCGTCACGAAGGCCTCCAAAAACTCGTACAAGTCTGTTTGATCGTGCAGGGGTCGGAGCGTCTTGATCAACTTTGCGTGCGTCACGGTGCTCGTCTGGGCCTTGTCCAGGACCGCTATAATATCTTCCTGCACGTCCACCATTGCCGTATACCGAGCAGCTCCCAACTCCGTGCGTGTGTCTCGCCCAGCCCGCGCACACCCACCCCCACACACACGTGTAGAGATCAAAGTACGGCGATCCAATGCGCATGCGTACCGCGACCGAGGTAGAGAACACCGTTTGTATTAAAATGGGCTAAAAGAATTGAGGCACGACAGAAATCACAGAGAAAAGAATAATAATTGTTTGGTGACGTGTAAAGTGGTCTGGGTGCCGGTATAAGTGCTGTTTTCTGGGAGGTATAATAATGGTTACACATGTATACACGGACAGCAGATTTTGTGGGTGGCTCTGGGATGATGTGGTGGTGGGGGGAGGAGGGGAGGAGGGGCTATACCAAGGTGCCATCTGGCGAGATTCCTGGTGCTAGTTCTGTTTCGTCTGAGTCAGAGTCTGGTTCCTGGCGTACTGGCTGTGAGAGAGACAAGCTATATAAATACTGTGTATATTATATTTGGTGGGACTCTTTTCAAGGCAGAAAGAAGAACATTTTCTTGTGTAAAGCAATTTGCAAAATTCATATTTGCCACCTCCGAAATCTTCAGTTCCTGCTATATATATATACTTTACGATGGTAACTGTCTATATACTGTGCACGGAGATGTCTATTAATGTGTACGTTACAAACCTGGTGAGAGCCTCGTACTGTTTTCATGATGCTCCGAAAGGCCTTTACCCACTGTTCCATCTCCTCCTCTGTCTCCATCTGTACAACACAATATGCAGTAGCAATCATGCCAGTCGTAAAGACAAAGGATTGGGGAATTCTTGGAATGCGCTCTCTTGTGAGAATGTTTTCACAGATCCAATTACTGCTGAAAACTCTTGTTAACGGAGTGCATAATGAGATATGTGATTACCCCTGGGGCTTGCTGAATTATACCCCCTAGGGGATACACAGTCATGAAATTGGTCAATACCCGGCAAAAGTGAAAGACATTAAGCAAGCCTCAGAATGGCACTCACACACACACACACCTGTATGTAGTATGTTCTGGAGGGAGTGACCAGCTCTAGCATATGTTCCTTCCCCGAGCTTCTATGGGCAATAGAACAAGATATCGATATGGAAACAGACGGACAATTAATTCGTTACCCACATCCAATTGCTCATTCCTTAGAATGGCCTTGGCATAACTTAGCGGTAATATATTGCATGTACTAGGTAAAGCATTAGCTAGCAATAGCTACTGGTTTCTCTCACTCTTTGCTGACGGCACAGCTGGTCATGTCACCAACAGACACCGTCCGAATTGGCTCCACCTCATCTATGGTCTTGTAGTAGCCGACCGACACCTCCGTCAACACAAAGAACCTCTTCTTCCAGCTCTTTCTCTGTTGGTATCAGAGGTACAACAGGGGGACAAAATTGTGATAGAAAGAGGGATAATCAATCGAATCTCACCAAAACGAACGAACAAACACATTTTGGTGACTGTGTTTGTGGACTGGGGACAGAGTTTGTACAACGGAGAAAATGAATCATAAAGTTTTCTCCAAAAATTTTGTGAATCGTGAAACATAGGCAATAGGGAATTTTGGGAATGTGTTTCTTTTGGTGTTTGGAATGGCTGGCAGGCGGGGGAAAGAGTTGCTCACCACTGCTCCCAGTTTGATGCCGTGTCCCGCATGGATGACCCGTGGGAACCCCCTTGTCTTCTTCTGCCCCTTGCCCCCGCTCTTGCCCACCGCTGCACTCTCTGCAGCTCCACTCCCATTGGACTGTATAATACACAAGCGGATACAAATATCACCCTAAGTTCCCTCAGTGGCATATAAGGCCAACACTCACGAGGAAACATTCATCAAGTCTTGTGCAACCTCAATGTATGGGCCCACACAACATGTTGCATAACACGTTGTCTATCTTGTAGTGTGGACTGTCAATGACACCCATACATTGGAGTTGTGCCATATATTATATAATACCGTATAGACTTCAACAGATTTGCACTGTGTGTACATACCTGGACAGGGATCTTCTGGACTTTCCCACCCACTAGTACCGTCCGGTAGGCCACCTCTTTCTTGGCTGCCGGTGCCGCTGTTGTAGCCACTGGCTTCCCTGCCCCCTGCCCCATCTGAGAGAGAGAGAGGGAGAGAGAGAGGGAGGATTAAATGAGAGTGGGTGGGGAAAGAGTGAGGGTGGAGGATAAGATAGGGACTTGCAGCTGTTGGTCACTTACAGAGCACCTCCTGATAGACTCCACCCACTCATCTCTCTCTTCCTCAGAATCCACAGAGAAGAACTGACAGCCAGTGGGGAGTCCTATCTCTGCAGTAGTCACACGAAGGAAACAAACAAGGTCTCATGAATGAGGGTGATTCATCACGTCCTGTTTGGTGTACTGACAAGCCAAAAAAAGCTGTGCCAGATACTCAGTTTCATGTTTATGCCCAATGTTCCGTGTGTGTGTGTGTGTGTGTGTGTCAAGTGTGGTGCAATGGGAGAGACCGGCTCACCTAAACAGTGGAGGACTCTCGGTCTAAAAGATGCAATGCGAACCTGTCCAGTTGTTTGTTGTGTGTGCGATGAGTATAAATAGATCGACAGACAGAAGGAAGGGAAGAGCCATTAAAGTGAATGAAAGTCGGACTCCTACAAACTGACCTTGGTAATCCACTGACAATTGATCTCGATTGTTGGCGTTAACTCGCTGAGTTCTTTACTATTCTGTGTACAGAACGGAGGCAGAGGGGAGGACAGAGAGAGAGAGAGGGAGAGAGGAAAGAGAATACTCCTTGTAAAAGCTCAGTCACAGTGTTGTGCGCCTCCTACCCCAGGACGGCCAGCATAGCCATAGAGAGTGTGAGAACCAAAGTCGAGGACTAGGAACGTCTTCTCATAGGTTCCAGACTCCAGTTCTCTGAGTACTGGACCCACCACCCTGTCTCTGTCGTCAAGTGAAGGCATTTCTCTCTAACGGAAAGCTGTGTAATAAATAGACAGAGCCTGGCTAATGAAATAATGGAGCTATTCTTGCTGTGTGTGTGTACACAGAACCCTTTCAGTAAAGCCAGCATGTTGCGTGCAGGACTCAATGGGGGGGGGAATGACATGCCAAATCACACAAACACACACACACACACATTGGAAAGGAAACAGACTTATAATACACACAGACAAACACTGCATCAGTATAATATTCGTATAATATAGGCAGTCAAGTAATAGGTTATTGGCTATTTACATACACAGTATATAGTGTAGTGTGATGTGAAAATGCTATGGCTGAACGGTAGTGCTTTAACTGAGCAGGCAGCCATGCAGAAGATGGATAGTCTGACTGTACGTACATACAATCCAGACACATTGTGTCCAGACTGCTGAGGGAAGGCTGGGGAGGCTGAAGGAAGTGAAAGCCAGCCCCTTGGTTTTGGGCAGACAATGAAGGAAACTAAAACTAATCTCCTGTGGGTATTAAGGGGAAGATTTCAGTCACTAATACACCCTACACTGCAATAGGTTGACTGTAAGACTAGCTCATGTTGCATACACAACACACAAACACACACACTAGACTCCATGGCCTTGCAACTTAGGAACTTGCAGCCTACTGCTTAGTACCATTGCATCGTGTGCTGGCCTGCAGCCTTACTTTGAGAAATGGGAGAGAAGACCAGTGGAACACAGACAGGCAGAGCCACAGCTGTGTTTTGCTACCATTGGTGCTACCCTGGCTCAGCAAGCTTATAGCAGCAACACACGCACAAGTGCACACATGCTAGCGTGTGTATTTACCGTCTGCAGAGGCACCCGGTCTGCAGTGAAACGCAAACACCCTAGCTTCTAACCCAATTACAGAGAAGCTGGTGGAGGTCCAGGGGCATTGTGTAGTTTACCTGAGCTCACACAAACACCGGAGACGCACAGACCATTGAAACTCTGCGCCCCGAGCGGCCAATGTACACCATGCTCTGGCTAGCTTGTAGGGGGGCAAGTTGGGGCTCCTGCAAGTCTATTGTTGGATATTAGCTCATCTTACTAACGGCAGGTGGACAGTGAATGCTAGCAGTCCATGCAAACTCCAGGGAAAGGAGCAGACATACGCAGCAGCAGTGTTCCGCGGATATAGCGAGGTAGCTAAGCTAGCTACCGCACACAGCTAAAACCGGGTTCGCGTCGCAGGTTCGTAATAGGCCTGACGACACTGTCGCAGTACGGGCGGTAGTTTTTCACACGCAGTGCACTGCTAACACATGGCACCAACCAGCCCAACCTCTACCACTGCGAAAACTTCAAGAAATCTCACTCACCCCAGTCCCAATTTTTTGTCACTCGTTCTGATTCCCCTTCCGGCGACGACAGAAGAAACACTGAACGTCCACGCTGGACCAGGACTCGGCTTTCAACGATCAGATTGAGCCAGAATGTCAGTGTGCAAGGAGCAAGCGACAGGAAGATTACTCGGAGGAGAGCCACGCCCATCAATTCGCACCCGCTAACGATATTCATAAGGAACTAATTACGTGCTAACGGTGTGTGGTGGAAGTACCGTGCAACCACACACACACGTCTTCTGTTTGCAAATCTATCCGATGCCTAGCCCTCTCTCTAAGGCAAAAAGCAATGTGTTTCCTCGAATCTACAATACACTCTATATGTAAGACCAGCCCTAAGGGTTGGAGTTAGTTCCAGCACGGGAAGCCTAGCACAGGAAACTGGCAGCCCAACACATGATGTATAGGCTGGCACAGCTAGCGTCCTTATACCTCTCCAACATGCCTTCCTTTCCTGCATTCGCTGGGTTTTTCCCCCTGTCATTATAATACAATTGAGACAGTAACTGGATCACAAAAGAATAGATTAGTGTCTTGTTTTGCAACATTCATCTCTTCCAACGATGCGTCAATCGTTCCATTTTCGCTTCGTGTTGCATGCTCTCGAGGTCGTGGACTATCTGTCTTGTCTTCCTCTCCCGCTCTGCGTCTCTGTAGTCACAACACACACCACACACACACACACACACACACACGGGCGACACAATACAACACCATAAGAGTAAACTGAAGGTACAACACTGCGAGTGATTCAGTTTGGCAAATGGCAACGGGGCAGCATTCTGCTCTCCTGTGTTTTCACAATCTGTGCACACGGCCACTGAAAACACTCCCAAGCTGTTCGCATTACAAAGTGTATACCTCAGTGTTTGCAGCTCGCACACCAAACACACACGCACACACTCACTCAGTTGAGCCATCACTTACTTCTCCCTAGCCTCCCTGATCTTCTCCCGGGACAGAAAGTGTGCATCCTTCTTCAGCTCTCTTATTGCGCCCTGTACACACACACCACACCACACCACACGTCAGTCAAGGAGCCTAGAAAACGCTGCCTGCAAACCTTTCTCTCCGTTTTTACTTTGTGTCTGAGTTTTTGTTTCTCGTTTTCTGATTTGTTGGGAGCTCTCCTCTTGCGAGTGTCGTATCTATATACAGCGCATCAAACAAAGTACAGGTGTAGTGTATCCTTATAATATAAATACTGTACTGCAAAGTAGTGCTTTACTCACACGGCATCAAAAGATGGTTCGTAGAATTTTATGGATTTTGGTTTCTTTTTCAGCAGCTGTAGCACAGGTCTCGGTGGAGAGTGGGACACGCCCCCCTCGAGCACCTGACCAACTAGCTCCTGGGGGAGGAGGGAAGGGAAAGGTGAGAGATTGAAGGGGGCGTGACTGTGAGTATATACAGTGTATACTATGACAAAGGTTTACAACAAACAACCGCTGAATGTCCCCACCAGAGAAAAACAATACCAAATTGCATACCGAAAGTTAAAACAGGTGAATGAGAACATTCCAACTACACAAACACTCAGTAAAACTAGTAACCTGCATTGGCTGTGGTAAGTTTGGAGAGACACTGAAAGTTAGAGGGTTGAGGGTTAGAGTGTTATTTTTTTGACTTTCTGACTAACTGCTGAAGATTGAAGGCAATGGCGGAGAATAGTTCAGCAAAGGACGGGAGATCACAGTACAGCTGGGTCAGTCTCTGTACCGTCCGCAGACAGGAGGAAACGGCAGCTGCACTGACGGCAGGGTCTCCCCCCATCTCCCTGTCCTCTCCCCCTCTCACTCTCTCAGCCATTATCAGTGACAAAACACTGCCAAATAAGAGGAGAAATTGTAACAGGTACTGAATATTGGGGGAATTTTTGAGGGGAGGAGAACAAAAAAGTTTTAGGGAAGAAATGTGTTCAGGAAATGACCTTGATATGTCAGGCAGAGGAGATGTTGATTGCCATTTTCTGACACTGTCACACAGTGCCAATCGGAGCTTACTGCTAGCCGAGAATGGAGGAAGGACGACAGCTAGAGTGGGGTAAGGGGGAATGAGGTAATAAACGGGGTACTCCACTCCAGTCTAACTCACGGGTGGGGTGTGTGGAGATGAGACTCGTGCAGCTGGTCAGGAAGTTGACCAGCTCTGGAACGAGCCGTTTCGAGGATGATATGAACTACCAGTCGTGAGAGAGATTCACCAGCAATGTGACACCCCAACAACACTCACCAGTGTTGTGAATATATGACAAACAGTCAGACCCAGCACCAAGTCGCCAACTGTCTTGACTGAGCTCTGGGGTACAATGGATTGACCAACCAATGGAATGAATGTTCTAGAAGATTCTTCTACCTTGAGCAGTATCTGGCCCATGATCAACATGGCCGGAGTGGTGACTGGGTGCCTGAAATCAGAGGCGGAGAAGACCACACCCACCAGCCAGAAGATGACCACCTATACACACACACAACACAGGAGACAAACAGAGTTTGTAGAGCTAAACAGGGAGAGAGGGTGAGTCCCACCCGCGCATTGCGACCGTGCAGGATAAACAGCCTAACATAAACAGACGCAGCTGTGCAAAGAGCCCTCACACACACACATACACACAGAGAGCAAGACGTGGAGGGAATGCGACTGATAGACTAGGGGTCTGTTGGATGAGCATCACGGGGGTCGCGTGCGTACGTGGTCAAACGGAGGGAACAACCGTCTTCTTGCCGACTTCCACGACTTGTGTACAGCGGAGAGGAGTCGTCGGAACAGTCTGGCAGCGTGGAGTGGACTGACTTGGGCCAGAGCTAGCAGAGGACTAGAGAATGAGAGTGAGAGATGAGGACACATCATAACAAGTTTTCTTGCAAGAGGCCTGAACCCCACTCCCTCCCCTTGATCATAAACTTGTGATCCCTTCATTGATTTACTAACCCCTTCCCCCTCACCCCTGATAAATTTCCTACTGTATAGCATTATGAGAGTATACGCCTACAATCCACCTGCCACACCTGGCCAGATAGTTGAGAGTCTGCAGGTCCTGTTGAGTGGCCTCCCTCCCCAAATGACGACAGTAGGACACCACCAGGTCTAGGAACTTCTGTTGGAGCAGGTGGCCCAGTGAAAATACCAAATGCACGCAATCACGCACGCACACACACGCACGCACACGTTCACCCGACCTCCAAAAGCTGCCTGTTCTCGGGGGCCAGAGATGGATGGTGGCAGGAGTGAATCCTCTCCACTACTGTCCCACACTCCTCTGGACTCCTGTCAGAACCAAACACATTGCACCATGCAGGGAGCTATGAAAGAGGCTGACCCACCTGCCAGTAGTGTGTGCCAGGAGATCGGGAAGGGATGTTGGCACTGGATAGCGAACAAGGCATTGCATGAATCCCTTCCCACACACCATATATGGACTAGTGACTTTACTTTTGAAGGTATAGGGAAGTTCCTTCATGGCTTCCTTCCTCATCTCTGATGGCTTTGCTGGTGAGTCAATTCCTTCAACGCCTCTCCCTCTTGTTCTTCCTCACCGGTTTCCTCTCCTCCCTCTTTACTGCCCCCTTCATTACCTTCTTCATCATTGTCTTCCTCACTCTCGAGGTCCGACCCAAACTCTTCTGCGGATCCCCACTCTCCTCCTCCTCCTCCTCCTCTTCATCATCACTGACAAACTCTACTTCCTCTCCTTCGAGTTCATCACCCCTTCCCTCCTCCTCCTCTTCTTCTCCCTCCCTCCCCCCTCCTCCTCTCCCATATCCATATGAGGTTCAACCAGCACGCCATCTTCGTATCTGATCATAAACCTGACCTCTTTCTTCTTCCTTGACCTTCAGCCACAGAGAGACAAACAATGACTGCATAATGACAGTAAAATCTGTTCCAATTATTGCCCACAATAAGAACCCTGCTATACTGTGTTTCAGTGGAGATCGTACTTAGTGATGATAGCATCAGCAGAGGTGTGGTCCACTCCTCCCATCACTCCCTCTTGAATCCTCTCCTCGCCTCTCATACGCTGCACCCGGTCTGCCTGCATGGCATCCAACCACATAATATGGGGTGTGTACATACGTGTGTGGCGCTATGCCAGTTGTGAAGTTTTTAAAACCCACCTCCCCCATCATCTCTCTATTACTTCATGTGAGTTGTAAAGTTAACACGTAACATGCGACCATATCAGGCAAAAAGCAGCATACTGCTAAAAATGTAATATGCATAAGGTCCCACACTACTTGATACTTTCACTATTATTAGTGAAGACCTATACAGCTGGAGTGGTAAACAAACAAACAGTGACAGGTGGAAAGTGAAATTGTTCTCACACGCTATATGGGATACTGTGTGTATATCTAATATTGGCAAACACAGAGTACATATTTCATGAAGCCCACCTGGTTGAACTATACCTCACCCCGAAACAAGGACACCTCTCTGAAACGGACACCTTTCACCACTATGAGGTAATATTTCCACACCTCCAGCTTGATGAGTCGGTCCCTCTCATCTCTGGCCAATTCCTCCGTCGTCTTGAGACGATCCGTAGCCATAGCCTTCCTCTCGAAGGCCAACTCTCTAACCACCCTGTCGTAGTCACTGCTACCACTTGCCCGTGTGGAGTCTGTCGACCCGACGGCCTGTGGCGGTGGAGGTTTCTAGGGGACAGAGAAGTCTCTCATAGTCTTAGAACTTTCCTCTCTCTCTCTCTCCTCGTGCTCACGGGTTGAGAGATGAGTCCGCGGACGTCCTCCCACTGAGAGTCCAGTGTCTCCATTAGCTCCTCCGCTTCCCTCTTATCCGACTGCCGCTCATACTGAGCCACAGAGAGACCAGTTTCCCTAATCCACTCCCTTCTCAAACAAAACGGGCCTCACCTTCATTTGTTTTGACTTCACCACCAGCTCTCTCATGATGTCTTTTCTCGATTTTGGCGTCTGTGTGCAAACAACGGGAGGACCAAATAGACACTCGTCGCCTCCACCCGTCCCTCTCTCGGGGGTCAGCCAATGTCTTACCTCACTCTCCTCCTCCACCTCTGTCGCGGTTCTCTTTCTCTTCAAGAAACCTCCAAAGTGTGTTTGGGAAATGTCCTCTGTGTATTAACGAGGAGCACAGGTAATACACTAGAAGTAACCACAACAGAGATTTTGAACCACCTTCTTCCTCTCCATCGCTCAACTGGATTCCATCAAACTTTTCCATGTCCCCAAGTGACTGACCAAAATGGGTAAGACCCTCCTCGTTATCATTGTCTTCAAGACTGAACTTCCCGTGACGCTTCTAGTCAAAACAAAGGGAAAACGGAGTTTTATTAAATGGATACAGCTTCCACTTGCCTTCTTCTCTAGAAAGAACCGCTGAGCCAGCTTCTCCTCCACGGACAGCTGCCTGTCATACTCACCGAACCGCTTGTCCTGAAAGACGCCCGCCTTTCCCCGAGAGCGGTACTCCTGCAGCAGAGTCTGTTTTCTCTGTGGACGAAGATACGGGGAGAGAGTAGGGAGAGGCCTCGGTGACCGTCTGGTAACCTTTTGGTCGGCTCTGGATCTCGCCACGCCAGGCAGGCCTCGTCCCGACCGGATCTTCTGGCCCAGAACGTCGTGTTTCCGTCTGTTGACGCGCACCTCGAAAGGATTGGAGCTCAGGTCACTGCGCTTGGCTCTCTTCTTCTTCCTAGCCACCACTTCGGCGGCAGACACCTTGCTTCTTGGCTTTCCCATTGGTGTGCCGTTTGTATCGCCACGTGGGGTTTGACCTTTGCTGTTTGACCTCACGTAGGTGGCGGGAAAAGCGGAGGAGAACATGGCGTCACAGCTGCTTACTAGCAACAGGATTTCGACGGGCCTCCGTCGGGTGCACAGTCAGAGGAAGAGCTCACAGGGGAGGACGAATGAGTACACGGAGGCCGAGGCAAGTATCAAATTGGTAGTTTAGCTGCATATTATATGCCTTCACATTGCATAACATAGGTGTCTGATGCACTCGAAGGAGCTCTGTCTTCAGGTCAGGACCTGGTTCAGACTGTCAGAGAGCTCCTGGACGGTGGGGTAACCATCTACACAGAGAGACTCTAATAAACGCCACCCCTCCAGAGAGCCAAGGAGAGAGAGGGTCAAAGTGCAGACTGGCGGTGTTCACTCACTGTGTGGACCTCCTCAACTCGGACCAACTCCAGAGCCAGACAGCCCAGGAACTGGTCGGGAAACTCCTCGTCGAGGTTGGCTCCTCTCCTCTAGTGTGGAGTTTTGGAGGTTTTGATATACATTATGTGCTGGTGGTGGTTGGTCAAAAGGTGGAGAGTTTGTCAGGGTCTTCTATGGTGAGGGTGGCCGAGCAGTTGATTGACTGCGTGAAGAGAGGAACTGTGGAGAATGGGCGGTAAGAAGATGGGGAAGAGAGAGGAAAGGTTATTGCCTCTCTGAGTAGGTCTCTGGAGCTGTTTCCGAAGTTGCTGTCAGTCATTTCTGCCCAACCTCACATCCGTCATCAGAGAGGTAATGCACAACATATTTCAACTCTACCTCCAGTTGAACCCCTCCCCCCTGCTCTCTCTGCAGAGGGAGGTGGAGTGGATCAAATGGAGGGTGCAGAGTTCAAGAGCCACCTTCTGAACAGTCTCTGCAGCTGCAAGTACCGTTTCCCTCCGTCCTGTACATTGTATGTAGTGTCACTACATTGTATGTGTGTGCAGGTGGGCCTCTAGCTCAGTTCTCCACGTGGCCAACATGTGTCGAGACATCCCCATGTCTCAGGACGAACTACAATTCCTCATCGAAAAGATACTGAGGTGCGTGATTGAACACCATGAGGTGAAAAGTCCTCATTTTTGAAGGAGGTGCAGCTTTTTCCAGAGAAGTAAAATTTCGAATGAGTGGCCAATGATAGTGGTATATAGCACAATCACAAGCTCATTGATGTGTGAATCTTCTAAAAATCTTACGTCTTTGTTCGCCCTCTCTGTCAGAGTGATGGAGAGTCTGGCCTACGCAGAGCTCCCTCCACTGGCCTACCAGCTGCTGGTCCTCTCCACACGAGGCCACAAGAGTCTGGTCTTGGAGGGGCTCCAGTCACTCTTCAACACACTGGATAGGAGGGCCTCACGAGATAGGGAGGAGGAGGAGGGGGAGGGGGAGAGTTGGGGGAGGTGGGTGTTGAAACATTACAATCATTTCGTTGCCTCTTCCCCGTGCCCTCCCTCTCCGAGCACAATGCTAACATAGAACCTTTGATATGACCTTTGATAGACCTTTGATATGACCTTGGTTTAATGGTTCTGTCTTACAGTTTTGTGTGGGAGTGGGAGAGAGAGAGAGAGCCTGGGGACAAGGCTAATCATTGTGTGTGTTTTGTGTGGGAGTGGGAGAGAGAGAGAGCCTGGGGACAAGGCTAATCATTGTGTGTGTTTTGTGTGGGAGTGGGAGAGAGAGAGAGCCTGGGGACAAGGCTAATCATTGTGTGTGTTTTGTGTGGGAGTGGGAGAGAGAGAGAGCCTGGGGACAAGGCTAATCATTGTGTGTGTTTCATGCCTATCTCAGGGTATCAGCAGTAGACCAGAGAGAGCTGCTCCTCAGTGAAGGAACTGTCATTCTCCACATCACTTTTGCTCTCAAACAGGACCAGGTACATACAGTCTATATGGATTCATTCACTACATTGCACTACGAGAATCGTTCTGTCAATGCCCATTATGCTACGACTGAATGTAGCAAAAGATTTTTCTCTGCAGGAACTGGGGAGAGAGTTTCTGAAGGCTTTGAAGGTGATCCCTACCCGTCTCTCCGCCTCCTCCCTGTCCCCCTTCACTGTGGCACTTGCTATGTCAGTCGTCAGGATTCATCGCTTCGAGGATGCTGTGAGTACAACCTCATGGAGATCTGTGTGTCTCTTTCTACCTGGTATATATATGTAGGTGTTTGATTGCCTCAAGAGTGCCATTCTGAAGAACTTCAAAGACCAAGATCGCTGCACTGCTTCCAGATGGATAGAGAGTGAGTCGACCTGTAACGATCTCTGTCATACCAGTACAATCTAGTGGGACTGTATATACCTGTACAGCGGTGTCTGGGGAGTCTCCTGATCTGGAGAGGTGTGTACTCAGGACAGTGGAGCACAGGTGAGGAGCTCTCTTTTTCTCTGTATAATTATTGTAAGTACATGGCTATAATGCTGATCTCTCTCTCTTGGTGTCTGTAGTAAGTGTGGCTGGGACCACGTGGTGGAAGGTCTCGTCGTGCTCGGCTTTCATCTCATGGATACATGTGCCCCCAAGACCTCCAGTGAGTCCCTTACAACCCCCCTTCTCTCCCCTGTTGATCTGGTTCCCCCAGACCCACAGCTGAGCTCCCCGCAGTACAGGGTCTGCAGTCTGGGCAGCAGGATCCTCTGCCGCTGTTTCAAGGTACATGTATACTTCACCTCTCACCAGTCAGTAGCACACTCTCTCTCTCCCGTCACTCTCACCTCTTGTTTGTCCTCTCAGGTTCACTCCATAGTCCACGGAGAGGTCATCAGTCAACTCATCAATCGTATTCTCACCAATGCCTCCACCTACGTCACCCACTACATTGGTGAGCCTTTGATAACAACTGGCTCCTTGTGGACCAATTTTTACAGCTTTCAAGGTTTGAGAACAAACTGTAAAATTTTTTTGGCTAGAAGTCCCATGTGCAAGCAATCTGCAAAAAATTATGTCTCACTGTAATGGTATTGGTTCTCCTCCAGCCCTGTTGTCGGAGGTGATAGAGATGACTCCTCAGGTGGCCCTGGACTCCCTGCCTCGACTCAGAGAGGCCTTCAGCTACCTCTCTGTCCTCCCACCCTCCTCTGCCACCGACCTTCTCGATGCCGTGCTGGTCTGCATCCCACTGCATCTCTCCTCTCTCTCTCTCTCTCTTCCCCAATTTCACTCCTCTTCTATTCTCTTTTTTCATACAGCCTCTGGTCCAGTTTAGCTCGTCTGTGAGGGACTCTCTGCTGCTGGTGCTAAGAAAATCTCTATTCTCTAGGTCTCCACTCTCCATATTATACCATTCTCCACTCACGCACGCCCCAATGTCTGTCTCACCCTCAGGCAGGTGGACGTGAGGAAGATAGCTGTGGGAGGCTACCTCTTACTGCTCAAGAAATTCACAGTGGGTCTCACACAGTAGCCAGCAGTGAAGTCTATGGACCGTGTGTATGTGTGTGTGTCTGCAGGTATTGAGTGCTATTGGAGGCATTGACAGTCAGATGAGTCAGACATCCACCAGCTCACAGTCTCAGGTACCCATTGGTTTCACGGATAAAGTCTCGTTTTGTTCCATTTTATGGTGATACCAGTGAAAGTGTGTGCCAGCAGTCGGTGCAGCAGTCGAGTGTTGTATTGGTTATGTGTAGGTGGAGGTGGAGATTCACGGCTCTGCCGGTCAGTCTGGCTTCCAGGCCCTCTGTCTGGAGCTCCTGGGTACGTGGGTGTACATATACTGTGTTGTTGGGTTTTGAGGACGAGAAAACTCACCAATTTTGAGGTTTTAGAGCCAACCCCAAATCTCTTGGAAATTTACGACGAGAGAGGGCTCTTCTACTGTCTCGTGTCTCTCCAGGTACTCTGAAGCGATCTCTGTCACAGCAGTACGAGGTCAAGATCACTCTCTACCAGGTATATATACAATACGCGGAATACACTGATGTCAGAGAGGGATGGGGTACACTGTGTATGTATGGTCCAGGGTCTGTACGAGGTACTCTGCAGTAACTCTAAACTGGCTGAGCCCATCATTGAGCTACTACTGACTCAGGTAAGAGACAAGCTAACTGGTAACCATACTATTGGTGACTGTACTGTTGGTGACAATACCTCCCCTCCGTGCAGCTGATGGTGTACTATGAGAAGGAGAGTGATGCCACGCCCCCAGTAAGACTGGAGCCCTGCATCACCACATCAGGCAGTGAGGTCCAGAGAACTGAGCCTCTGGTGTGAGACTTCCGGTAGAGACACTGACTGTAGTTTCACCTCGTGTTTGGAGCAGGATCGGCTGGTCCGCTGCCTGCAGATGTGTGTGACTCAGTTTGTGAGGCGAGAGGAGAGGGGGGCGGAGGAAAGGGCGGAGCCAGACGGTCTCCCGGAGCCGGTGGAAGAGGCACGGGAGGTGCTGGAGTCTCTGGTGGGCAGAATGGCTGACACTCATCTGGACGACTTTGAGCTGGTGTGTATAGGGCTATTCTCTGAATTTCTGTACGAAAGTCCTCAAGATGTCATGATATTAGGTTGTGTGGTATTAGATAATGCTCTCAGTATAATTATTATGTTTTTAGGACCGGTCTGCTGACTTTTCCACTGGCAGTAGTGTGGGTCAGAAGAACCGGATATTTGCCAAGTTGGCCATGGGCCTCTACGAGGTATGGAGTTGAGGTAAAAGATGAGAATTTTAGGTCTGTTTGTTGGTACAGACTCTCATGGAATTCACCTTCACCAGTGGAGATTTCAGGTAATACAAGTGTTGTATGTACAGGTGTAGTGCAGTGCAACCCATTCGGCACCTTAGAATATACACACATGGTTTAAAACACTACCAAGTAGTTGTTGAACACCCTCTCTCTCTCTCTCTCTCTCTCTCTCTCTCTGGTCCAGTCCAGAGAGCTGTGAGCAGTGTCTCAGTCTGTTCCACTGCTACCAGAGAGTGGCCCACATTCTGTCAGAGAAGTCGTCAGGCTCGGCCGGGGGGAGTGGTCGACGAGGCCCCGCCCCCTCTCCTCTGGCCAAGGGAGATCACTGCAACTTGTCCCTCCAGTTCATCGTCAACATGCTCCAGGCTCTGTTTGTGTTAGTCTACCTATGTTAGAATTCTTTGTCCACCCACTCAATCTTTATCAATCTTCTATCCTGTGCTAGTGATGTAATCCCCAACCACCAGCAAGCTCTGAATGTACTGAGAGACTCACTGGCCTTCGGGAGGTACATTCTCACCTCTGCCCTCCATCAGATTCTCCAGGTACTGACTGTACTGTGTATTAGTACAGTTGACCCACTTCTGCTTTCAAAATTTCCTTTACCTACTACAATTTAATGTACCTTTTGCGTCTAATGGGAATAGGTACTATATGTTGTATTGTGCTAATGCTATATGTAGGTGCAGGCTAAAGGAGTGTGTGATGGGGTGTTCCTGAGTCGGAATCCGGACAAGATGTTTCGCTTGCTCTGTTCCCTGGGGAAGCCTCTTTACAAACAGTTGGAGAGTGGTGGTGGGGGAGGAGGAGGTGGACAGAATCAGCAGGGCAAGAAGGACAAGGTGTGATCAGTGGCAATATTAAACCTCGGTTGTTGTTTACACTAGCTTTCTTTATTTCTCACTCCTCTTTCTCTCCAGGGGAAGTCCATCCAGGTCCTGTGTCTGGAGGGCTTCTCCCAGCTGCTGCAAGTTGTCGACTCTCGCTACCCGACAAAGATGGCCGTCTTTCTCTCTCGTCTCCACCCTGGGTGTGGGGAGACCTCAGAGACAGCAGAGAGAGTACACTTCTTCATCAAACACTTCCAGGTTTGTACTGTTCAACTTGGTGGTCATTCTATCTTCCTCATCCTCCCCAACTCTTTTTTACTCTCTCTCCTTCATTCCTCCCTTCTTCCCTCTTCCTTCCCTCCCTTCTCATTCGCTCACTTCGGTTCCTCCCCCTCTCCCCTTTCTTCTCCCCTCTTCATTCTCCTATATACCAACTCTGTTAGGGAGTTGTGAGTGGAGTACTGAGTGGGGCCAACAAGGGATGGGTCATGCGAGAGGTCCAGATGATGGTCTCCATCATTACATGTCTCTCCAGTCACCTCCCCTCCTCCTCCACTGAGGTAACAGTACTGACCATTGATATACATACTGTAGCTACATACTGTAGAGATGATAGTGTATGTTGTCTGTATGTATGTATGTACGTGTGTTACAGTTGCAGCAGGTGTGCGAATGGACACTGGCACAGTGCAAAGAACAGAACATCGGTGAGTTGGTACTCATACTTTATACTTAGACATTGAGTCGGTGTATTTTTCACATTCTGCGACATCGTGGCAGTGATGCACAAAAAATGGCGGATTTTCCGTCTTCGATGCTCGCTCTCGCTGCGCTGCGACGCTGAGAATCACTGGGAAAAAATACACCCATTATATTACCACACGACGGCTCATACGCTGATGAAAGCCATGTTGAGAGTATACGTGCTAAGTGTCACAGTTGTCTGTGAGTGTTAGCTCACACACCAGAGGGTCGTGGTTGAGCGCCACACCAATCTTGTCCAATGTAAACGTTTCGTCGTCCATCTCCATCACCTTCGCTGCTTCTCTCACGGTCTTGTGGAGTTTGCTGCTCGTGTTGTGGTAAGCATCCACCAGTCCTTCGCACCTGATTTCTGCCTTCGCACGACTGGACCTGCTGCTCAACACAAAGAAATCAATGGGATAGTTGGGTCTTCTCTTCGATAATGTGAAGGTGGGGATGTGTGTTCCGTGGGTATCAAAAGTGCCCAAACGACAGTTCATATCAACTCCGGCCACCACCAGTGTCCCGAGCTCCCTCTCCAGCGTTTTCACCACCTGACAGAAGGCAGATGCCACCTCTCTGCTCCTCGTGTTGTGAAACGACAAGAACACTACTGGTGTTGGGAATGAGCACTCTCCACTAACCGTTGCCTGTCTAAGTCCCATGATGCTGGTATGCTTACTGAGTACCTGTGAAACCCGTTTTTCCGGTTCCAGCCTCTCGATAGCTCTGTCTAGGTAATCATTCATAGGAATTGGTGCATACAGGTTTGCATCGTACAAGATTCTCGATTCTGTCTTCTTTTTAGAGGACACGTCTTTATAGTGTCTTTGTCGCCACGTAGCCTCAGTAATCCGCCTTGCCACTACATTTGTTCGAGTCTCCTGCAGTAGAGCTACGTCTGGACAGAGGCTCTTGATCACGGAAGGCACCAGGATGTTTCTCACAGCGGCCATGCCCTTCTGAGTCGAGCCAAAGATGTTCCATGAGAGAATTGTCAGGACCAGCCTTGCCCCTCCTGCTCCCAGGCCCGCCCCCTCTGATTAGAGTAGGTGGAGCCAAAGGGAGCCCGGCAGCATCGTAGTATAACCATTCTCTCGTGACTCGGTTCTCTCGCTTGCTTTAGCTGCAGGTAGAAATTCGAATTGGATTCGAAAATGAAAGGCATTCTTGTTTGCTGTTTGCTTTTCCCACGGGGCTAGCTAATCTACTTTCATACGCTCAAACCCTCGGCTAATAACACATACCTGCAGCCACGGTGAATATCAGGCAAGACTATATTATAGTCGCTATGTGGCAAATATGTGGAGTCATATTCACGTGTTTTCCCTGCAAGCCGATATGGCCATTGTTGTTTTACTCAGTGTACATGTTCAGCATGTCACGATCTCCCTGCAGAATACTTTTCCATGTTTGTGTAGCTATTCGTACATGACATGCACACATCTTGAAACTATTTCGGAATGGGTATTGTGTGTGTATTGTGACTGCTACTCTACACACTACAATAATGTGCTTTATATAGTAGTTGTGTGTGTGTGTATCATAGGGTGACACTAATAATGAGAGGGTCGTGATTGATTGCCCTCCTATAGTCCGGTATAGCGTGTCTTGGGCCCTTCAGGAGACTCATCGGAATGTGGAGGAGGTTCGATAGGTTGCCAATAATATCCAGAGCTGTGACTTCTGAATGCTCCATTCCGCCTGGTGGGCTGTCCAGAATGAAGTAGTCTATGACCCTCGATCTCCTCCTCAAGGTTGGCTTGTATTGCGGTATTCTCAGTGAGTCTGATCTCATTGGCTGGTTGAGGTCGGCTCCAGCTATCACCACCGTCGCTGTCAGCTCCCTCATGCTCTGGACTATCTGACAGAACCTGTTTGCTGCTCTTTTCCTCATTTTACTTCTCCGGCTGTTGTACAAGTTGTGAAACGACATGAATATCGTCACTCTGTTGGAGACGAGCTCGTGGTCCTTCCTCTTCAGACCAACTATGGCTATACGTCTTCTGAACAGTTCTCTCATCCATCCCGCAGCCCCTCCCCCACAATTCCCTCTGTTCTTCCTCTGGTATACTCTGCTCCAGAGCCTCTGCCAGCGAGATGTTTCCCCTGCCTCTTTTCCTGGGGAAGACCCTGTCATATGGTGAAATAGCCTCGTAGAGGTTTGAGTCATACAGTACCCTTGCTTCTTTTTTGTCACCAGCACGGACTTCGTTATAGGTTCTCCCCGCCTTGCTTATGATGTTTTTGACTAGAACATTAGTCGTAGTCTCTTGTAGTAGCAATACTTCAGAGTCCATTTCCCCGATCACCGCAGGGACCAGCCACTTCCTCTTCTCGGCAAAGCCACGCTCGCCAGACCCATTTATGTTCCATGACATCACCTTTATTTTCAGCTGAGGCCTCTTCCCCTCCTGAGGGATGCTGGGTCTTCCATTGGCAGGAGGGAGGGTTTTCCTCCGGGAACTCATGTCTATAGAAACGACGGCTGTGATCGGAGGCTAGCTAGTTCACTTCTTGGAACTTTTGTAACTGCTGACGTTGCTTGTTCACTGCCGTCATGTGCATAAGTGAATGACGTCCTTGGTTCTGTAAGCTTATTAATGGTCTCGCGGCCCCCGCCCCCTCTGATTAAAGTAGGTGGAGCCAAAGGGAGCCCGGCAGCATCGTAGTATAACCATTCTCTCGTGACTTGGTTTACTTGCTTGCTTTAGCTGCAGGTGGAAATTCGAGAAATGAAAGGCATTCTTGTTGCTTTTCCCATGGGGCTAGCTAATCTACATGCATACCGGTTACCCTTAGCTAATAACACGTACCTGCAGGGACAGTGAATATCAGGCAAGACTATATCGTCTTTATTATAGAGTCACTATGTGGGAAATATGTGGAGCCATATTCACGTGTTTCCCTACAAGCCGATATGGCCATTGCTTTTTTACTCTGTGTGCATGTTCAGCATCTCACAATCTCCCAACAGTATATTTTTCCATGTTTGTGTAGCTACGTACGTGACATGCACATGTCTTGAAACTATTTTGGAATGGGTATTGTGTGTGTATTACTCTACACCTGCTAGTTGTTTGTGACATAGTTCACTCATGTCGCAGATTAGAGGGTCATGATCGATTGCCCTCCCATAGTCCTCTATAGTGGGTCCTACTCTACACCTGCAATAATGTGCTAGTTGTTTGTGTGGTACATAGTTCACTCAGTCCCCTTGGATGTGTGGGGTGACACTAATAATATGTCGCAGATGAGAGGGTCGTGATCTATTGCCCTCCCATAGTCCTCTATAGTGTGTCCTGGGCCCTTCATAGGAGGCCTCAGGAGATCAGCCATCAGTCTGTGGAGGGGGTTCAATGGGTCGTCTCTGGCTCCCACAATATCCAGAGCTGTGACTCCTGAATCCTCCATTCCGCCTGGTGGGCTGTCCAGAATGAAGTAGTCTATGACCCTCGATCTCCTCCTCAAGGTTGGCTTGTATTGCGGTATTCTCAGTGAGTCTGATCTCATCTGCTGGTTGAGGTCGGCTCCAGCTATCACCACTGTCCTTGTCAGCTCCCTCATGCTCTGGACTATCTGACAGAACCCCTTTGCCGCTTTATCCCTCGTTTCTCCTCCCTGACTTGTGTTCACGTTGTGAAACGACATGAATATCATCACTCTGTTAGAGATGAGCTCGTGGTCCCTCCTCTTCAGACCGACTATAGCTATACGTCTTCTGAACAGTCCTCTCATCCCTCCCGCAGCCCTCCCCCTCAACTCCCTCTGTTCTTCCTCTGGGTATACTCTGCTCCAGAGCCTCTGCCAGCGAGATGTGTCCCCTGTCTCCTCTCCCGGGGAAGACCCTGTCATCTCGTGGTGAAATAGCCTCGTAGAGGCTTGAGTCATACAGTACCCTGGCCTCTCTGGTGTCACCAGCACTGACTTCTTTATAGACTCTCCCCACCCCCTTGGCCTGGCTCATGATGCTACTGACCAAAGCATCAGTCTTAGTCTCCTGTAGCAGCAGTACATCAGACCTCATTTCCCTGATTACAACAGGGACCAGCCTGTTCCTGTCCTGGGCAGAGCCACGCCCATTTATGTTCCATGACATCACCTTTATTTCCAGCTGAGGCCCCTCCCCCTCGTGGATGCTGGGTCTTCCAGTGGCAGGAGGGAGGGCTTCCCTCAGGGAGCTCAGGTCCAGAGTCATGATGGCTGGGGTTGGAGGCTAGCTGTAGTTAGCTTCTTGTTAACGTTTGTATGTAACTGCTGACCTTGCTTGCCCACTGCCGTGTTTGGTGTGTTTAGGTCAATGACATCATTGGTTGTGTAAACACCATTGCCTTATTCACGGTCTCGCAATTACTGCCACTCGCATTCCATACATTCCCCATGTACTGTGTACTAGGATATTATCAAACAGTATAACATACAAAGTACATTATTAGACCTATATATGCAAATCTTTTTCTATCTGTTCAGCTAGACTTAGTTGTGGAGAGGGTGTCTACCAAGTTAGCGTGCATAACAGAGGATCGTGGTCCACTGTAATACCATAATCCTCGATGCTGTAGATATGCGTTTTTCCCCTCAGAGTCTACAACTACCGTTCCGTTTAAGTGTTTGAAGCAATGCCATCGGATGCTGTGAAATCTACTACTTCAACACTAACTTCTTCTGGGTTGAGTGTTGTGACAATAAAATCGATCATCTTTCTTCTTACTTTTAGTACGCCTTTCGCTCATATTATAATCTGGGATGTATAACCCTTCGCTTGTGGCATGCGGCAGGCTCTCTTGTATGCGTTGGGTGAAGCTCTTTCTTCTTCACAGTTGAAGTCCACACCAGCCACAACATATAATCCAGTCAGAGTCTTCATTGCTGCCACTGCCTGCACAGAAAACTCTGGCACCTCTCATAACTATTACAGTGCTGTTGTAATTGTGGAAAGACATGAAAAGTGATCTTTTTGTCGGCATTGGGGCCATCCTTTCTCCTCAGGCAAACCCAGCCACACGCTCCATGACAACTTTCCCCACGCCTGCCTTTCTCGGTTTTCCGTCCTCTCTTTCTCTAAGTTGTACGTGGTAGTTTTGTCTTTATCTAAAGTCTCTATTGCAAGACCCAGCTCATTTCTTCTCAGCTGTGATTCAAATTTTTTGGTGTCATACAAGACTCTGGCTTCCTCCGAAGAGGTCTTCTTGGCCCCCTCCTCCTTCTTTGGGACTATTTGTTTGTATTCCCTTCCCTTTACCTTGCCTGCTTTTACAATTTCACCCACTATTACTTGGGTCGTGATTTCCTGTAGCAGCAGTATGTCTGGGTCTTTCTCTTCAACCACACTGGCGACTATTGCATGGCGAGCAGGTGGGGTTATGCCCGATCCCATCACTTTTATTTCCACTTCTCCTTCGGCTGATTTTTCTTTATCCAAACTATAACCATTTATGTTCCACAACAGCACCTTTATTTCTTCCCCTTTCTCTGCTGTCTTGAGCTCTTTTACTGTCTTCAGCATTGGCTTACACTTTACTTCTTTTTGTTCTTCTTCTGTCTTTGGCTCCATCTCTCTCTTTGGCTTACACAATACTTCTTCCCCCACCTCTGTCTTTGGTTCCATGTTTGCCAGCTACGTGATTCAGCGCTCTAACAAAATGCATATAAGGCAGGAAGTGACATCTTTTTATGTCAGTGGTATCTGATATTCATTGCAGTGGTATTCCAGTATTCCAGAATTTGCATGCTTAGGATTACATACCCAAGACCACCCACACACAACTTATATAATAGTATATATCAACAGTTTTTATAAGTAAAAACAAACATTTTGATGCATTCTTCCCGTATGTGTTTTATGTTGTGTCAGATGACAGTCATGTGACCAAGGCTCTGGTGGCTCAGCTGCTCACACTTAACAACAGACACAAGGAACATGTCAAGATGGTGGGGGAAAGAGGGATATTTAGTTGATTCATGTTCAACTGTGTTCCGTGTTGGTTAACTACAGCTGAGGAAGTTGGCTCAAGATGTTCACTATTATCTGGGAGATATAGATGAGGTATACTGACCAGTAAACTGGGAGTATACTAACATGTTATGTTTGTATACTACTCAGGATATCGAGCTGGAGTTCAGGCCACATTTTGCCATTGTCAACGCCCGAACTGCCTCGTCCAGTGTACTGGTATGAATCATTATATAATATAGCTATCACACATAGATTGGGACATGTTGGGCCACAGGGACTGGTGTACAGTCACATGGAGCAGGCCCTGGGTGACGGAGAATGGCTCATAGCACGACTGAAGGCAGAGCTCTCTACACCCAACCCCAACCACTCACATGGTGGGTGCAGAATGTACAGTGAGAACTTTAGAGGAGGGAAATTTCAACTGATTGCAATGCTCTGAGCCAACAAAATCTACAGTTTCATGATTTCGACTGTTTCCTGTACAATAGTGCTACTGGCACAGTTACCCATACCTGGGTCTCCCTACAGATGAGAGCAGTAGTGTGGGAGGTCTGAGTCAGGCAGAGGGCCACTGCTCCTCCCTCTGTGAGAGACTGATGAATGTGGTGGTGGGCTGCAGTGAGCTGGTCCAGTCTGCTGTCTCTCCCGGGGCACCCACCGAGGGCCTACTCAAGGTCTCCCCAACTCTCTCTCTCGCTGCATCACTGTGATAGGATAGTGGTTTCATTATTTTCTTGCAGACGGTGACTAAGCTCTACGAAACTCTTGGAAACATGGCTAAATACGTATGTTATAGCTCCATGTGTGTATATATAGTCTTCCCTGATGAATGTGTACATGTACCTCTGTGTTGGTTCTTTCCCTCCACAGTATGTGGCACTGTATGCCTTCCTGTTCCATATCATCCCCAACTTCAAGAAACTGGTGAGCTCTGAGTCCATTACATCATTCCGGGTCCATCATACTCTGTTGTTGTTGTTGTTGTTGTTCAGGTTGAGATGGTTGGAAGTCATCTCTCACAGCAAGTCTATGCGCTCATCAACTACATACAGGTATACATAGTCTGGTGAGGCAGTGTGTGTGTGTGCTCACTGCTCATGCATGGAGCAATCAGTTGGTTTGTGTGTATTAGAGAAGGCAGTGGAATTTGTGTATTATACTACTTGCAGGCTGCACAAGTGGTACCCACTGAACAACAGGACAAGAAGAAGGGAGGGAAGGGGAAGGGGAAGGGATCATCAGGGAAGGTATATATATAAGTCCTCACCGTACCAATGCCACAATCCCACTCATCCATACTATGACCACTGTAGACCAGTGTACGTAGGGAGATCCAGCTCATCCCCAGTCTCATATACTCCATGGAACAGCTTGAGAAATTTCTCATCCAACTCTCCAAGAAATCTAAAGTAAGACTCAGAATAGGATTTTAGTCACCAAGCAATGTGAGAGAAAGTCTATATAGCTAGTGAGGACTTAATATGTAGGCTTGTTCTATGGTGCTGAATCTCTGCAGGTGAATTTGATGGAGAATTTCAAGAGGAGTATGGCACGTGATTTCCGCATCAACCACCAGGCTTTGGACGCCATCTTGAATGAGGAGGGGGAAGAGGGAGAGGGGGGAGAAGGGGAAGGAGGAGGAGATGAGGAAGGAGACGACAGACCACCAATGTCAAAGAGACTAAAGCTCTAACACTGTCTTTAGTATAATGTATATACATGTTCACGTTTTCCTCACCTTCGTACTTATTGCGCATGCGCATGCGCAAGCAGGGTGCCTTCGATCTATTTATGCGAATGCAGCACAACGAAGGAAAAATCAACTGACAGATGACGTAAACATCGCCAGTAGCAGCACACCGAGTGGGTCTGAAGATGAAGTGGTTCTTCGGCCGTCTCCCCACGCTTCCCTGTCTCTTAGTGTTGTGTAGTGTGTGTCTGTGGCCGTTGTTGGAAGCTCAGGATGATGACTGTCCGCCGGGAGAAGACTGTTTCTGCTCCCGTAGACTACGGTACGTAGCTACGTACGGAGATAAACCTACGTACCTAGTCAAACGTGGTATTTACGCTATAGACGTTGGTAGAATGGGCAAACAAGTCGCGACGTGCAAGTTTCAGTACTGAATTTGAGGCATGGTTGGTGCAGTAGAACCAGTGTGTAAGGCCAGGTGTCCTAGCAGATATCGACTGTTGGTTCACAGCATGTGAAGGGGTCATGTGCCCCTCACACAGTTCCCGTATAAAGGAAGGTATCGTGTTCTGTTTTCCTTTCCCTGTGGAGGAAGTAGCCACAGGCTGCAGGCCATGTTTGGTGTGTGTGTCAGAATGTATACCCTCTTTGTGTGCTAATCAGTTGCCTACTGCCACCCACTCAGTAAACCTTTCTTTCTCTCCCATTTCCATTTGCCCCACTTCTTCTATTGTCTATTTATCAATTCACTCATTCACTCTACAAAACCCGCTGTCTCCCCCCTCCCCCCCTCCCCCTCTCTCTGTTCAGCCTTGACAACAGTAGTGGAGTCATAGTGGACCATTTAGGTGGCGGCGACTACAGAGCTCAAAACCGATGCCTCTTTTACCTTGAGAGTGACAGGTACACACCCTCCTTCCCTTCCCCACCACTCCCACACACACTGACTCTCTCTGAACTCTCTCTCTCCTCTAGGCCTATGTCATCTGTAAGACTGAGATTCAACAGATTTGATCTCGAGTGTCTCTGGGACTATCTGTACATCTTCTCTGGAGACTCTCTCCACTCCACAAAGATTGCTGCCTTCACGTAAGCCTCTCTCCCCCTTCCCAAACACTTTTCTGAGGTTTACTGGGAGAATACTGAGAGTATACATATTTACTTGGAGAATACTGGGAGTATACTGATTTACTGAGAGAATACCGAAAGTATACTGATTTACTGAGAGAGTTTACTGATTTACTTGGGGTATACTGAGAGTATACTGTTTTTTCTTTACAGAGGAAACTTGTTGCCATCTCCTGAGTCATACAGTAATGGAGATGTCACTCCCATTCCCATGTTGGATCGGAATGAAACCAACTCCACCAATTCCTCCTCTGGTGACGACACGGATCCCGTCCTCATTCCATACCACGAGCAGAGGGAGATTGTACTGGAGAGTCCCGGTTCCAATCTCCTCCTCTACTTCTTCACCGACCCCGGGCAAGAACGGACTGGCTTCAATATCTCCTACTGGTAATTGGGGGCATGGCTTCCTTTGCTGTAAATGGAAAGTAAAGCAACTTAGTCTATATGGCAAGTTGTGCTGCATTTTATAGGCATATAGTATGAACATATCTCTTACTGTAGGTATCCTATAGCATGGGACTGTGTAAGCTAATGAGCAGCAGATTATGTGTACATCAATTTCTGTGTCAGGTTGAACTACTCGTGCCCCGATGAGTGTCTGGGGAGGGGTAACTGCAGTGAGGAGGGAGTGTGTGAGTGTGGGGAGGGGTGGAGCGGTGAGCGGTGTCAGCTGCCCTCCTGCCCCAATGACTGCTTCACCACCAGCGGCCAGGGAGAGTGCGTGGAGGGAGTGTGTCAATGTCAGTCTCAGTACACTGGTAAGTGGGTGTGCTAATCATCTGTGAGGTGTGGAGTTGTGACTGGCCTTTCTTTACCTCACTGCCTCTCTCCGTCTTCCCTTCTCCTCCCTCTCTTCACACTCTCTTCCCTCTTCCCCTCCCCTCTTCTCCCTGCAGGTGTGGACTGCTCAATCTCTCTCGCAAGTCCTCACTGGGAAACTATGGACTACACCACATCTGGTGTGTTCTCTGTTTTGAAACTATATACTCCCTTTTTGGTGTATAGCAGTAATGAATGATCATGACACACTGTCTTTTATTCTGTGAATCCGTCTTTCGGATTCAACCTAGACTATCAATCAATCAACCAAACACACACTCTCTCTCTCTCCCTCCCTCCTTCGTCATTTATCCTCCCATTCATTTTCTCCAGGTAACCTTACATCAGCTCTACTGGCCAGAGCAGGTCACTCCAGTGTGGCCACCTCCACCAGCCAAGTCCTGGTGTTCGGAGGATATCGCTTCCCGACAGTTCGCCAAGAGGAAGGAGAAGGGAGTGGGGAGAGTGGGTCTGGGGGTGGTGGGGAGGGAGGAGGGGAGGAGGAGAAAGAGGTGGCAGGACCACAGTTGCTGCTGTACGACATGACCTCCGGCCGGTGGGAGGAGCTGGAGGTAAACAAGAGCTCAGCTCAGCCGTCCCCTCGATATGGACACTCTGCGGTCCTCTACAATGTGAGTTGAGCAGGAAATTGGTGTGCAACAATCTGTGATGTGTTCAATACACCTGTTATGTATATGTGTGTGTGCATAGTTCTTGTTACGGCACGAAGCGTGTGCATTCTGTAGCTTCTTAGTGAGTTTGTATGATGACAGCAGCTAAGTAGCCCTCTAATGTTTGTTTTGAGGGCCAGTGTCTTTGTGTGTGTGTATGTGTATGTCTGCTGTATTGTGGATATATAGGGCTGCCTCCTACTCTTGGCCTAATGATCGCCATACATGACTGTATGCACTGTGGTAATGCAGGCAGTTGGCACACACAATGTAGTGATGGTCGGACCATGCGATGCACAGACCTGCCAAGTAAATAGCATCAGTAAACCTTTTCTTCTCTTCCGTAACGTAATCCTTGAACCGTACTAAATGGATTTGAGAAATAGCCTAGAGCAATTGTGTAAAAGAGAACTAATGTTATACCATATGTACATGCTGTGTCTGTGTTGTATGAGGTAAACTGGGCTTGACCGTAAACTTGGTAATTTCGTGAACATAAAAAATTGTATCCTTGTCCTGTAGGACACCATGCACGTGTTTGGAGGTGTCCTGATCCCAGAGGAGAGGATCACCAACGAGCACTGGGTCCTCCACCTCCCCACACTCACCTGGTCACCCCTCACACTCTCCCCCGACCCCAACGATGACGTCATCGATAATTCAACCTCGTACAATTTGACCGGTGTTGATGATGACAACAGTGTCGTCGTGACGACGGCCAATCATAATACAGTAAAACTCCCGCTCCGTGTCCGAAGTCATACAGCTCACATGGTTTCCACGGTGATGATTGTATTGTTCGGGATGTCTGACCTCCAGCACAAGTTCTTCTCCTTCGTCCAGGAATACGACCTCGGTATGTCTCCATTCCATACCACTCTTGTGTTCACCGACCTGTCCTCATTCCACTCCAGAGTCGGGGGAGTGGTCGGTCCCGGTTCAGAACGGAATGAAGCCCGGCGGCAGAATGGGTCACTCCTCAGTGTATGACGAGGACTCTGGACTGGTGTATGTGTATGGTGGACAGATTGGGGACCGTGCTGTCGATGATCTACTGGTCTATGACCCTGTGACTCGCTACTGGAGCAAGAGAGAGAGGTATGTACCGGCCGACAAGGTCACACCTTCCTCTCTCTTTTAGCTTCTTGGTCACCTGGTCTCAGAAACCAGCCTCGCCTCTTTCTCCCCCCTCTCTCTCCCTCCCTCTATGCCTATGTCATACGAGATTCAATTCTCTCTCTCTGTCTCTCTGCAGTGGTCCATCTGCATCCTACCTGCACACTGCCAACCTCCTGTGGGGCCAACTGATGCTAGTGTTTGGCGGCTCTTGCTTCTCCAGCAATCTCATGATATACAACATCGGTACAGCCTGTCAGACCCGAACTAATCGTCCCCCTCCCTCACCCTCATCTCCCCCATCTCTCCCCACAGGGTGTGATGAATGGTACGAGACTGACTATCTCGGTCTACCTGGAGATGCTGGACGCCTCGGTCACGTGGCGTTTGTGGACCCATCCACCAGCAGTCTGACAGTCTTTGGAGGGTTCCTGGGGCTACCTCTAGCTGACATGTTCCTCTTCAACACAGGTCTATATACACTCCTCTGTCCTTCTTGTCTTCTCCACGTCATGTGTCCATAGCACAGAGTTCTAAGGTGCATCTTACTACATACATAAGTACAGTCTAACTCTGCTTGTACAAGTAGGGGGCCCCCTTCTACGTAAACATTTACAGCTGGGCCCTTATTTTTAACGTAATAAGAGTCGAAACTGGTTTTCCCTCTCCTCTGGCGTGCCAGGCGACTGTAGTGCCCACGCCGGTGAAGAAGAGTGTGCTGCAAATGGAACCGTGTTCTGTGGGTGGAGTCAAGCCACCAATTCCTCTGTCCCACTGGCAGACAACCCCACCAATCTCCACTGCTCCGTTGGTCAGTCTCTACACACATACACTCCCACATCACCAATATATCTTAACTGTTTTTCTGCACATCTCATGTGCTTTAAACCTATTTGTTGGTTGCGTTTTAACGTTTTGCGAAATGTTTCACTGCTGGTTGCGTTTCTTCACGTACCAGATGAATGTCTGAAGCTGTCCTCGTGTGACGAGTGCCTGACGGGAACCAACTGTACCTGGACCAGTGATGACAGCACCTGCAGAACTGGCTCTCCTGACCTGGTGAGACACTCAACCATTCCCTCTCTGTGTTAGTAAAGTGAGCCTAGTCATCATCTGAATTGCACATTTTGGCTGTAGGTATGTAGACAGTACTCTCCGTGTAATGCTAAAAACAAGCAAAACGTTGCAACTTTGTACTTGTGATCACTAACCAATGAATGATCTCTCCTCCCTCTCCTCCCTCTCCTCCCTCCCCTCCCTCCAGAACGCCACCTGTCCCTCTCCCTCTCTCGACTCCACGGTGGAGGAGGCTGAGAGGTGTGGGAGGTTCAGCAGCGGCAGTTGCTGGGGCTGTATGGCCAGTGGCTGTCAGTGGACTATAGGCGGGGAGTGTGTGGACTCCTCTCTCAATGGTACAGCAGCTGCTACCATTATTGTTGTGTATGCCCACCCACGGCACAGACCACCTGTTGTTGAATCCCGTATTTGGCTTTGTGCCTATTTATTAACCTCTTCCTTCCCATTTAATATTAAACCCTTTCACTCCTTTAATTTTACCACATCCGAACTCTTACCTGATGCCCTTTCAACATTCTCTATTTAACCTCTTCTTCCCCCTTTCGCTATTTAACTCCTCGCCTCCTGACAACCAATCTCACTCCCGTCATTAACCCTTCCCATCCCCTCTCTGCTCACAGTAACAACGACCGAGTGCAGTGTCCCCTGTCCCAAGACCAACTGTTCTTCGTGTGCTGGCACTGACAGGTGCCTCTGGTGTCCCTCACTCAACTCCTGCTTCCCCTCCTCACACACTCAGTCCTACGCCGTCACCTTCCCATTTGGACAGTGTCTTGGATATAGCAGCTCATGTCCAGGTACAACACAATCACCCACTATGAAATTCTCACTCCCTACCAATTGCTATGCATTTCATAGTTACAATATAGACTACAGTTCTGCTGTTGTTGTTCTGCAGTGCCATGTGATAATCACGTGACATGTACCGATTGCCACGGTGACCCGGAGTGTGGCTGGTGTCGGGACCCGGCAGACACAGGTCTGGGGACCTGTTCTCCGGGGGGCTTCCTCTCTCCTCTCTCCTTCTCCTCCAACAGCTGCCCCGACAAACACTGGTTCTTCGAGCAATGCCCTGGTCTGTTGTGTGTGTGTGTGTCTTTGAGATAAGCTTATCTGTCTTTGCAACCCCCCCTCCATACCTTCCCTTTATCCTTCTCCTTTCCTGCCTTCTTCCCCTCCCTCCTCCCTCCTCCTTTGGTCTTCCCCTCCCTCCCGGCAGCCTGTCAGTGCAATGGTCACAGTACGTGTGTGAACGAGTCGGTATGCGAGGAATGTCAGAACAACACACAGGGTGCCAACTGCGATGAGTGCTCCGACGGATACTTCGGCAATGCCAAGGGAGGAGGCGTATGCACAGGTGAGACCTCAACACGCCACTCTTACTGCAATCACGTGACTCTTAACTACTGGTCATGTGACTCTAACTGGCGATCATGTGACTCTCACCCCTCCCCCACAGAGTGTTTCTGCAACGACTACCCAGCGTCATGTGACAAGACCACTGGAGAGTGCATGTGTCACGATGTTGGTGTCACCGGCCCGTCCTGCTCTGTGTGCGCCTCCAACAACTCGTACATCGGAGACCCTGACAACTTCTGCTACTGTAAGTATTGTTGGGAACTGAGAGCCAGCTAATTTAGAAATGTTACTAACTAAAGAATAGGGCCCAGTGTAAGATCCGTTTCCAGTAACATTGTATATATTAACTGTGTCCTCCACTCACTAGTTTTCATATACTCCTCCTCCTCCTCCTCCTCCTCCTCCCCCCAGACGAGATGTCTGTTGGGTTCGTGTACACGTTTGAGGTGTCTGACCCGCGAGAGAGGGAGAGTTTCTACCTCACGGTCCCGCCAGACGACGTCACACTCTCTTTCAAATTCAAACTACGATCCAACCCTGACGACAGAGATGTGGTGGTCGAGCTATTCCTGGGGAAAGGTAAGTTCTTTCTTCCTTTTCTCTCCGTCTCTCTTTTATCACTCTAGCTTGTTAGCAAGAGGAAAACTTATAACAAGTTGTCCATGTTTTACCACTGATGTGTACATGTCACACAGAACACTGAGCAAGGTTGAAAAACGCTACTTCCCTTGCCAAATAAATGCACTGCATTTCTTCTCTTTCCACCCTATGTTTCCATCCTGTTTGCTTGTCTCATTTAGTAAACATTCCCCATTCCCCCATTCCCCCATCCCACAGTCTCAGAGGGTCTGTGGGTGTTGGCCAACATCTCTGGCCCCATCACTGTGAGTGGAACTGGGGAATTCAGCAGAGAGCTGGACGACAGACCAGGCAGCCGCAACTCCACCTTCCCTCCCCTCTTCTCCTTCGCCCACCCTCGGTTCAGGAACTTCTCAAACTTCACCGACCTCTTCGCCGGTCGCCGGGAACGAGACTACACCAGGAAGATGTGGGACGGAAACGTGGCTCTTGTGATACGAGTCTCCAACTTGACGAACCCAATCACCTTTAGGGTGAGCCCTGCCTGCATCTGTTCTCTGTTCATATTCGTCGCCGTCTCTTCTCTCTCCTACAGATAACTCTGGACCAGACAAACCTCTGGTTTCTACTCTATTTCTTCGCCACGTTCATCATGTAAGCCACACCCACCTCACCTAGTCTCAAATGACACGAGTGTTCGTCACGGGGATTCCCCGTCCTCTTTCTCGCTGCAGCTGTTTCACGGGTCTACTGACGGCCTTCATGATTGGCTGGTACCTCAAGAGAAAGATTGAGTTGAGGCGATACATGAGAGTGAGTGTCCATCACTAAGTACGGTAGTATATGTATAGGGATGATCCAGCATCATGGCAATACATTTCACATTAAGAACAAGGTTCTATATATTATATGCTGTACTCTGAATGTTTTTCTGTGCTCCACAGCAACAGTACCGCGACCTGCGCAGGAGAGTGGCACGTCCGTTCTCTCGTATCAAGATCATCCTCCACAGAAGACCCGGGCACAAGAAGGCCGCGCACAACTCCACGTCCTACGTCTCTTACCAGCCGTGCAGGTCGGGGAAGGCGGCCGTTCTCACCTCCTTCATCCACCTCCCCGGGGACTCCGCCACTGGCCGACCGGCTCACGGTCGAACGGGACTCTGTCTCGGAACGGCGTTGGTACGACTGAACGACAAGTCCACCAAGGACCGCGGCGGAGGGAATGGGGGGAGGAAGAGAGGGAAGAAGAGGAGAGGGGAGGGGGAGGAGATGATGGGAATGCAGCCGCAGAGCGAGCGACGCGAGAGAAATGGAACAGTAGGAGACAGAGGCCAAGGGCAACTGACCAATGACGCTGCTAGCTCAGCTTCTAACTTACATTCTGTTTAGCTTGTGTGCATGTTTTTTTAATACCCACTCTCTCTATTGTATCTCTCCATGTCACGAGCTGTGTATTTTGGTTTCATTTCTCTCTCCTCAGTTACTGACTTGTCAACAATTTTTGTTTAAACTGTCCTGCTCATTTTTCATTATTATAAGGTGCGCTTTTCATAACAGTTGTTATGGCACATACCATCAATATATAGTAGAGCTATCATAACAGCATGAAAAAATCTGCTTTTTGTTCGATTTTTGTTTCGTGTCAGTGTCTGAGCAAAGTTAGAAACACAGTCCACATACATAAGCATTGTTTCTCATAACCCTAACGGTTGTTTCCCTAACCTAATTGGACTCGGAAGAAGAGGTGGAGTCATGCCGTCTCCGTGGAGATGGTGATCTTGTCTTTCTAACAGCTTTCCTTCTCATTGAGGACTCCCCCCTTTCTCTACTCTTCACCCTCCCTCTCTCCCTTTCCTCCTCATCCCCCTCTCTCCTCTTCACCCTCCCTCTCTCGTCTTCAGTCGACCTGTCTTCTGAGCTGTACTTTCTCGAAGCAGCTGGCTTCTCATCTTCAGAGCTGTACTTTGACCTCTTTCTGGAGGTGGTGGTTTCTTCACTATCATACGAGTCACTAGGAGAGGAGTCTCTGGCTGATTTTCTACGGGATGACTTCTTGTGCTCTCTTTTCCTCCTCTGCCTGCCTCTCTTGGCCTTACTTCTACTCCTACTGCCCTTCATCACTGTCAGTTTCACTTTCAGCCGAGTCTTCCTCAGAGCTACTGCTGTAGTGCGCTTTCTTTTTTGAAGTCTTCTTACGTCTTTTCTTGCTCTCGCCACTTTTCCTACTGTGTAAAGTATTAGAGATACCGAACAGAAGTTAACGTGTGGAGGAGAGTGTGCGTGTATTAGAAGATGCAATACACCAGATTTGTTGGGAGTTACTGAGAAAATTTACCGTTTCTTTCGTTTCGATTTCTTCTTCTCCTTGAGTTGCTTCCGTTTCTCTTTCTCGATGACCTTACGAACCCTGGCCAGTTTCTCCTGTTCTTCCGCCTCTTGTCTCGCTCTCTCCTTTCAGTCTCGCAGTCTCCAAGACCCAGCAACACACACACACACACACACACATACACAGGCAATGGAGGAGTGTCATACATTTAGACACACACCATATGTACATTGGCAATATGTAGTGCCACACAGACATATTATTATACAGAACATAAATCGTGTAAACCAAATGTATGGTAGGAGAGTGTCGACATGAGGAGCATGGTAGGAGAGTGTCGACATGAGGAGCATGGTAGGAGTGTGTCGACATGAGGAGCATGGTAGGAGAGTCGACATGAGGAACATGCAGTGAAAGATTTCAGGCAGTGTGTGTGTGTGTGTATGTGTGTTTGAGGGATACAAGTGAGGCACCAGAGGGACGCACGGTGCAGTGTGATTTGCAGCGCAGTCAGTACACAGGCCACACGTTACGGGGTGTAGAGACGAGAGAGGTGCAGATTGAGTCCAGAGCCATTGTAGAAAGACCCCATTTCACACAGCCCGGGAAGAAGGTGAGGAAAAGGAGCAGCCGTCCAGAAGTCGGCCCAACAGTGAAGCAGGGAGGCAGAGAGGAAGAGAGGAGGAAGAGGTTAGCAGGTGCTTTCTCTGCCAGCAGCCAGCACACCTTTATCTCCATGGCAGCCACAAGAGCCTCTAGTCTTCCCTTGGCCGTCTCCTCGCTGGGATCCAACTCCAAGGCCTCTCTGTAACTCTCCATCGCCTCCTCCACCCTCCCCTGCGCCTCCAGCCTAGTCACGTGACAATCACCTGACAGATCACATGACGGGTCAGGTGAGACTCACCGCTTCCCGTAGACAACCTGGGTCTCCAGCAGGTAGTTGCGGGCGTTCTTGTGCGAGGCATTCAGGGAGAGTGCCTTGCGGAAATCGGCGATGCCATCTTTGAACAGTCCAGTCGTGGCCGAGAGTGCTCCTCTGGCCACTAGTCCCTCCACGTTGGAGGGGTCGATGTCCAGGGCGTGGTTTAGAATCTGGCGAGCCTGCTCGTGCCTACCTGACTTGAAGTGGTCGACACCAACAGCCACCCTGTGAGGGGAGGAGAGAGAGGGTGTGTGTGTGTGTGTGTGTGTGTGTGAGGGAAAGGAGGAAGGAGTGAATAAAGGAAGAAGTTGACAGTATACGCTCACGTTTTCATTGACCACTTGAATCTCTGGGCTTTCCTCAGTGGCCCGGCAAAATTTCCTTCAGCATAATCAGCTCTGCATAAATATCAAGAGCCGGCGAAATCTGAACTTTCAATTGCAAGTCGAAAGAGTTATAAAATTTGCCAGACAGAAAGGAGGGAGGGAATGATGGTATGGACTAACGTCTGCAGGTCTTTGTAGAGGGTATGTCTGAAAGAAGTGGCAGCTGCCAGACCGAGAGACTGGTACAGGTTGCTTCTAGCCTCTGGGTTTATGAACCCCTGGTCTCCTTCCAGCCCCTCCAGGAACTCACTGTCTTTGATGGCACTGGTAGTAGGGAAGGAGAGGTTCATTAGTTTTAAGGTGTTTAAGAGCATCTATGTACCTGGGTCGTGGGGAGGCGGGTCTTCTACCAGCTCTGTACCCCTAGAAACACACGCACACACACACTCCATTATACATGCAGCTGTACGTGTGACTGTAGTCTCCTCACCAGAGAGGCAGGCTCAACTCCAGAGAGGTCGCCGCTGGTCTGAAATGTCAGAACCAATGCCTCCTCTTCCAAGTCCACTGTCACCACTACAGCTGGAGATTAGAGTATTGAGGGGTTAGAGAGGGGAGAGCTCGGGGGGAGAGAAAGGAAGCAGAGACGGAGGCGGGTAGAAAAGAGAGGTGGGAGTGAGTGAGCACCTTGAACGACATCACCCAGCTGCATGTCTCTCATCACCTCCTCACACTTGTCCTGATTCTCCGTCAAATTATCAAACAGTACAACTCCCTGGGTCCATTAGGGACTCACTAACTCAATCATGGGTCAATTAAACGAGGGCTTACCTTGATCGCGAGGTCTGACAGCTCGCGATATTTGTGGCTGTTTACAAATGATGTAATCTGGACTGCGAGGCCACTGCTGTATCGCTTGGCAACCACGTGACCTTGCATGACATCACCAGGTTCAACTAGCTGTAGTTACAGAGTCAAATAAACAGAAAATAGCGAATGAAGATTTGCAAGTACCTTGAAGAACGACTGTCTTCTCATAACCCTAGGGACTTGCATGTGATACTCCAATGCATCAGGCTCTGCATATTTGACTGAATAGTGGAAAATACAGATGATGTCATGCCATGAGAAAATGACATCATGCAGGAGCTCACATGAGTCCTCTGATCTGAAGTTGTGGAGCGTGGGGCCTCTGTCACTGACCAGCTCTTCCTTTGTCACCAGGTCAAACGTCTCGGCAGTTCTCTGGACAAACCTTCGAACTTCCGCCACAAATGAGTCTTCGTATTTCTCATCTTCCTCCTCTTCTTCCTCTTTCTCCTCCTTCTTTTCCTCGTCTGCTGCTCTCACCTCTCTCCCTCTCTCAGCAGTGACATCAGTGACTTTACTCCCTCTCTTTCCGTCTCTCTCCTCTCCATCCAACCTGGGAGGGGGAGGCTTGGAGTCTGCACTCTGCTCTCTCTCTTCTGCTGGGTTTGATTCCTCTTCGAACAGCTCAGGTGTACCAGTTTCATCTCCGTCGTCGGTTCGATAACCTTTTATCAAGTCCACAGCCGACACACTCTCGGTAGCAGACCCACACACGAGAGATGGCGGCTCAGTTACAGAGGCACACGTGAGAGACGGTAGCTGTTGTTGACCAGTCCAATGAGAGTAGCTCTGTGTCTGCCACTGGTCCCAGGCAGGAGGAGGAGGAGGCGGGGGAGGAGGAGGGTGGTAAGAGTGAGAAGAGGGCAGGGGAGGGGGGAGTGGGGGGTGCTGGGTGAACCAGAATGATTCAGGTTCGCAGTGCCGTCTCTGTCTCTCCGGATGGTAGTACTGAGAGTGAGGAGCATAATGGCCGTCGTAGTCCTCTCTTTCCTGATGGTGACCTCGGAGATCTCTCTCGAACTGCTGCGCAGGAGGAGGCTGAGCGCGGAGGAGACACGGGCACAGAAACAGAGGAGACTCGGAAAACCGACAGCTTCAACTCACCCTCCACAGGCCGGGCTCAGCAATTCCGTGAGCAGGAGGAGGACGTGGAGGCCACGAATCAGGTGGTCTGGGTTGCATTCTTACACTCAAAGGAAGGGAATGCCTTCGTGCATGCTGCAAGTTAACTTTACTCTAATTTGAGCGCACCATGTTCAGCTGACTCAGCATAAATCGCTGTTAGTAAATTCATAACCGAAGAAGAAGGGCAGGGGCTAGAGATGTCGACACTGCAGCCGGGACGGAGAGTCGCCTTCGACAAGGCCCTCTTGTCTTCAGACTCCTCAGACGACGACCTGGCACCTGGTCGAACGACGCCCAGCGACGCGGGTTCCGGGCCGCCGTCCCACCGCCTACCGCGCGAGTATCGGGTGTACCGCTGGAGATGGCTGCTCCTCAGCTCCCTGTGTCTTGTCAACATCAGCAATGGCATGGTAACCGTACGCCTCCCGTACCACTAGCTACCAAAACTATACAGCACAACGGAACAGTGTGCATTTAGCGCCATCTCTCTCTCTGCGTAGATGTGGCTGTCGTTTGCACCCATCCCCAACTACACGGCTCGCTACTACAACGTGGAGGTGGCCGACGTGGACTGGTTCTCCATCATCTTCTTCCTGGCCTCTCTGGTGGTGGGGTTCCTCAGTATCGCCATATTGGACACATTTGGTCTCAGAGTTTCAGTGAGTAAAGAGTGGCAAAGGAGCTCAGTGTGCCATAGTGGCAAGCAATCCATGGAAGTTTTTTCAGTTGGAAGTTCTTCTGTTCGCCTGCTGGCCTGTGTTTGTATAGCAAAGGAAAATGACGGATTTCATGCCGGTAGCAACTTGGAGAAATGTAAACACTTTCACATTCGTCCAATACTCCCTCTCTCCCTCCTCCCTCTCTCCCTCCTCCCTCTCTCCCAGCTGTACCTCGGGGCCGGGCTGAACCTCCTGGGCTCAGTCCTCCGCTACCTCAGCACCCTCGACCCCATCGTCTGCTCCTCCGTCTTCTCAAGGTCAGGGTTCACCGTGGCCATGATCGGCCAGTTCCTCACGGCCTGTGCCCAGCCGTTCCTCTTGTACTCGCCCACCAAACTCGCCTCGTTCTGGTTTGGCCCCAAAGAGAGAGCAATCTGCACAAACTTTGCCTCCATAGGTGAGATATTCTGACGACCGTGTGTTTTTGTCTTCTCGTTGTGTGGACCATCTTTCACGTGCTGTTGTTGTGTGTGTGTAGCTAATCCGATTGGCTTGGCAGTGGCTCAGCTGGCATCTCCATACATTGTCACCTCTACCGAGAGAATCCCAATGATGGTTAGATACTCATCTTCCTTTTTCTCCCCCTCTCTCATTTTTGCCAGAGAAAAAAGTTTGCATTACTTAAGGTTTCAATTTACGGTGGAA